CTCTGTAAGAATCTTGGCAGCCCTCTTTTCCATTGCTAAATATAGCAGCTCACTCTCCCTGTCATTTACACACACACACACACACACACACACACACACACACACACACACATACACACAAAATATAAAAACAAACTTTAAATAACACATGTTCTGAGTAAATATTGTTAAGACAGGAAAAAAAAATCTTGGGCCAAGAATTTCTGTTCATGAAAGAGGGTTCTAGACCTTCATTTATTCCCTCATCTCTTTCTGCCTCTCACTTACTTTCAGCTTCTATTTTTTTATAATTTATTTTTTTATTTTGTGTTTATTGTGTAAAGGTGTCAGATCCCCTGGAACTAGAGTTACAAACAGTTGTGTGCTGTCATGTGGTAGCTGGGAATTGAGCCTAAGTCCCTCTTGGAAGGAGGCAACCTGTGCTCTTAACCAGCCTAGCATCTGTTTTCTTCTCTAAACTTTTTCTGTAATCTCACCCATGGTTTCAATATATTCTCTCTACTGAGTGAGTAACAACAGCATGTTAGACAGTATTCTAAAGGCTAGGAGCACAACTTTGTGGTGAAACTGAACATTCTTTCTGAACCCTATGAATCTGTACTAGTCACCAGATTACATGCACTCTTTTGACTGAAACTTAGATGGTAAGAAATCCAAGGTAAGCTATTAATGACCTTTATTTGGCATTTTACCTCATGGTCCTAAAATAGCTTCCGAGTTCAACTGACTTCTGCATCTGCATCAAGGAGAAAGCAAATGGTGTGTAATGATGTTTTTCTTGTCAGGTGGGATGACCTGCTCCTCAGCACTGCTTTCTTGATTGGCCATAAATATGTCCTTGTGTTAGGCAGAAAAAAAAAAATTTTAAGTGGTTTTTTTTCTAAACTTATCAGCAGAAATGGGCAAGGGACAAGGATGGCATTAGGCATTGATCCTATCTCAGCATATGTGGCATTTTAAGACCTGCTAAGCCCCCCTATCGTGCTTTCTTAGTTTACTCCAATTTTATTATCTCTGGGGTTTATACAGGCTGTGCCTAGATTTATATTTTATTGAGTAATTGGATGTAACCCTATTTCATCAATATTTTTGTCTGTAAATTATTGTCATTTTATAAGAAATTCCTACAAATAGAAAATGTTTTCTGATTTTAAAGCATTTTTATGCTAATGGAATGGGTCCCACTTACTGAATGGGAAATAACTATGCACGCTGCTGGTTTTAAATTTATTTCCACTGGTTGAGGATGTTGCTCAGTTGATAGACTGCTTGCCTGTCATGGCTTTTCTGTTTTTTGGTAGTGCTTGAAAATGAGACTGGTGGGGATTCAAATCTTTCAGCAGTGTGGAAAATTCTCAGTCATCACCTCTGAGTATCATCTTTCTCAGTCATACTTTTTTGGGACTCTAATTAGATACTGCTGCATTTTTTTCCTACATTTTTTTGCCTAGCTTCAAATTTTTAAATTTCTCTCGTCAAATAATTCTGCTTAGCTTGCCCATTGAGTTTTACATTTAGTTACTGTGTTTTTATTTTTAAAAGATCTGTTTAGTTTATCTAGCCTGTGTGTGTTCTGATCCTCATCAAAGTCTTCTCGGATATGGTGTGAGTGTCTTTGTGTGTGTGTGTGTGTGTGTGTGTGTGTGTGTGTGTGTGTGTGTGTGTGTGTGTGTGTGTGTGTGGGACAGAGGCTGGCATCAAGTGTCTTCCTCAGTCACTCTTAGTCTGTGAGGAAGGGTTCCTCTGTGTGTGTGTGTGTGTGTGTGTGTGTGTGTGTGTGTGTGTGTGTGTGTGAGGACCAGGAGGCCCATCAAGTGTCTTCCTCAGTCACTCTTCCTCTCTGAGGAAGGTTCCCCCCCAGAACCTGGAGGTTACCCAGGTCAGCTGTCTGGCGAGCAGCCAAACCCCAGAGATCTCCCTATCTCTGCTTCCCTACCTGCTGGGGTGGCGGGTACACGCACCATGTCTGCATTTATGTAGGTGCTGTAAACCAAATATGGTCTCCAGTGCTTACACAGCAAGCATTTTAACTACTGAACAACCTCCAGTTTCCTTCTCTGATTTCATTTATTACAGAAAAAAGGTGGGAGAGACACGTGTCACAGCATGTATGTCCAGATCAGAGGGCAACTTTAGAGTTGATTTTCTCCACCATGGGTTATAAGGGTGAGTCAGGTCCATGAACTTGGCATGACAAGGACTTTTGCCACCAACATGTCTCACTGGCCTTCCTTTATTTTTTCACCTAAAAATAATGGTTGTGAGCCGGCAACACCTGGGAAGCTGAGGCAGGCAGATCTCTGAATTCAAGGCCAGCCTGATCTCAGAGTGAATTCCCAGGGACAGCTAAGGCAACACAGAGAAATCCCTGTCTTGAACAAAGACAAAAAACAAAAAGGTTTTATAGTCAGTCTCCATTAATCCTAGTTTCCAAAGACTTTGAATCTACCTCTACTATATCTTATTTCTTAGGATTTGTTTATGTATCTTAGCACTTTTTACTGAAAGCTGATGTTTCTTTCAGAGTTATTTGGTGGATGCTTTAGGGCCTGGATTATTTGTTGCATTTCTTTCAGAGATCACTTGGGGGTTACCACACTGTTCTGGAACCCCTTTGTATTGTATTCTCTGTATAAGTGTTTTTGTTTTTTTCAACCACATTAATTACCCAGAATTAGAAATCAGGGGAGTGAGGACTGGTTGATATGTGACTAAGGACTACCATGGGACTTTGGTTCCAGTTCTATGTAATGGATGAAATATCAACAATTCCCCTGCCTCATCTACATGGCAGGTTTTATTCTGCTTTGTACTCTGGATGCAGCCTTTATAATCTCGACATTACTGGGTATCTTTACTAGATTTCCTGTTGTGGACAAGCTCTAAAGCTTTATCTCCTGACCCTTACATGCTGTGTGACTCACCAGCAATGATAGATTCTCAGAGTTTGACAGATGAATTCAGAGGGAAAGTTCTTTGCCCCAATATTTTGAAACGTTCAACATCTTAGTTACTTCAGCGTGAAGAATCATGTAGGATGGTATAGTTGCTATATTGCAGAAACAGATATTTATTTGTTCCTAGTATTCATTTTTATCATGCTCACTCTGGAAAAGACTTGTTATTTTTTCCCTTAAAGAGACTGTTTTTCCAACCTTGTCCCATTTTTATGGGAGCTGGTCTGAGAGCTTTAAGATTATTACACACTGAGAGTTATTAGAGCTAGCCAGGGGCAAAACCAGCCTTTACTTCCTACAGTTTGCCTGAATTTTGAGATCAGGCAAAGGCTGATCAACTTTGCCCCTTTTCGAGTACTCTTCATGAACAGGACTCATCTTAGAATTCAAGTAGCCTGTGCCATTCTGCCTTATTCAGTTTGGAACATGCAGTATGTAAAAAGTACTAAATATCTCTGAGCAGTCTTATTAACCTTTCTCACTATCTTTTCACAGACATTTGGAGACAAAACAGGAGCTGTTAAAATGATTAAATGGTCTCCTGATAATAGTGCTGTACATAGTAACCTGGGGAACATGGAGGTCTTTCTTTATGGAGTGTGTTTGGAGCCCAGCTGATTTGTACACTTGGAGGAGACTTTGCGTGAGTGAATAAAGAAAACTTTAGATAAATAACCTGGTATTTCCCTAACAGCTCATATATTCAGAAATGCAACTCATGGGGCTACCTTTAAAAAAAAAAAATCACTCTTAATTTTTTTTTTTTGTAACTTATCTAAAACAGTAGAGCTTAGTGAGTACATTTTCACATGTACACATCAATGCCCTTTGCCCTTATTCCTTGATGAGTACATTTTCACATGGGCACATTAGTGTACTTTGCCCGTATTTTCCCTTCCTTTTCACCAGATAGCTGCCTCCTTCTTCATGCCATGCTATATGTATATTTGTTTTTAAATCTAGACTGACAGTACTCATGATAAAAGCATGCAGTATTTTATCTGTATTTCCCAGCTGCCACTGCCCCTCTCTCGTTTCCCCATCTCGTCTGTCTTCTAGGACCACTACTCTACCCTCATCATAGTTCTCTCTCACTGTCGTGTCCTGTGTAGATTCTGCTTATGAGGAAAAATGGATAATCTGTCTTTCTGAGTTGGCTATATTTCACTTAACATGATCTCTAAGTCTATCCATTCCTGTTTTATTCTTATAGCAAAACATTTTGTGAAATTCAGATTTAATTTGTTGAGAATATGATGATTCTTCAAACATTCACCTTCCTAAAACTGACAGTTGATTAGATAATTACTTACTGATTCCAAATACTAGGGAAAATACACTTTTTTTTTTTTTTTTTTTTTTTTTTTTGGAGCCCAGTTGTGTATATGAGCTCATGCTAAGATTTAAGGGTGACTGCTGAACTGTGTAGCACACACCTCTAATCCCAGCATTCAGGATGCAGAATCGGGGGTTCTCTGTGATTTTGATGCCATCCTGGGCTACATAGTCTCAAAACTAATGCTATAAAAAACCAAACCAAAAGTGAAAGTGACTGTTCTTTAAAGTAGAAATACATAATAATGCATGAGTATTTCATTTTCATGCACTATTATGTATCTCTGTTTCTAAGGAGTGGTTTGTGTATACTGTGTAATTAGGAGACAATCGAGTTAAGTTTCTATTCTGTTTTAGTTATAGGTCTGAGTGGTACCAAAAAAGATCCCCTTAAGATCAATTCTATGGTAAGTACTTTCTACATAAAACATAAAATAAGAAAGCATTTTTTATCTCAGCAGATTTTTTTTCCTATATAGTTCATTTTTGGTGAAGTTTATTTTCCTGTTTAAGATGGGCTTTGCCAGGTGATAGTGGTACACACCTTTAACCCCAGCACTTAGGAATATAAGGCAGGTGGATTTGAGGCCAGCCTGGTCTATAGAGCTAGTTCTAGAACAGCCATGACTACACAAAGAAACCTTGCCTTTAAAAAAAAAAAAAAAAAAAAAAAACCAACAAGAAAACAGATGGGGTTCCTTGCTGTGAACCAACATTTAGCCTCAAACTATATAGGCCAGGCTAGCCTTGACCTAATAGTCCTCTTTGCCCTGCCTTTGGAGTGACTTTGTCTTGAGAAATAAGGTAGATGATTCTGACAAATGACATCATCCGGTTTATACACACACATATACCTCATATATAGACACAAAAGTGTAAGTTTTCAGTATAATAGTTCTGAAACTATTGGCTGTGGTGACACATTATTTATGATTTCTTAAAGCTTGCCCGAGGATTCAGAAAGCAAAGCCAGCCCCAAGCTATAGAGACCAGGCAGTGGTGATACACACCTTTAATCCAACCACTTGGGAGGTAGAGGTAGACAATCTCTGTTAGGAAATATATCCAGTCCTAAAGAGAAACAGCTCACACAAAGATGATCTCAGCACTTGGGAATACACACCTTTAATCCCAGGACTCATGAGAGGTTTTTAAGACAGGAGCAGGGTCTCAGGGCTGGCATCCAGTCTGAGAGTTTAGTCTCTAGCCACGTTGAGGAGAGTATAGCAGTCTGAGTGAATCTGAGGAGCAGTGAAGTCAGGAGCACAGATACACATATGCACACATGAAATAAACAATGTTAAGCTTTCAACAATTTGCAGCAGTCTGTACCTGTAGTGAGATAGGTTGTAAGTTATTTCTCCCTGAATAAACATCTATTCGGCCCATTTGTTTATCCTGATCCTAATTTAACCGTGTTATGTACCTCACTCATCATTTTCTTGGATTACAGATTAGAAATAACTGTCTTGAAAAATACTATGATGGAATCTAGTTACACAATATTAATTCTAATTGGGCTTGGAGAAGTACATTTAAATCTTTTCACTTTATACTTCACAACTGAAGAAACCTCTCTCTAGAGGCCAAGACAGTGCAACAGAAAGATCAAGCTGAAACAAAGACTCTGGTGTTCTTTGCTATATACAAAGCTGCATCTGTTGTAGACGCTTCTTCACTGAGCTTCTAGTCGCCTACTCAGAGTTGTCGTTTGTAAAATCTCTTTGTACTTGAGATGTTACAGAAGCATTTTTAGAATTGGAACCCTGAAGTTGAACCTGAGAACATTATTCAGTGTTCAGTGTTTTACCATTCTAAGTAGTGTTTCCTCTGGAAACAGATAAGGTGTACTATATGGCTAAGAATCATTGGTTGTGATTTTTTTTTTTTTTTAATGTGTCTATGTGGGCATGCTACTGTGTGGATGTCAGAGGACAACTTTATGGTGTTCTTCTCTCCACCATTACGCGGATGCTGGGGGATCAAACTCAGGTTCTCATACTTCCACACCTTGCTGAGCCACCTTTCTGAGCCCTGGGTGTGACTCTTAGAGTCTCTGTTATTTGTCATGGTTTCTCCAGCATTCCAAAGACAACAGTGGTGTCATTGGTTATTTCATTCACTGTTTTCAATATTTAACCCAAGTTACAAAGGAGATAAAAATAACTTTTTGCTGCTTTGACATTTTTTCTTCAAGAGCTGGGGTGCAGAAGGCTATCACTTGTGGGTGATCAGCGGATTTGGTCCTCAGTACACTGAAATTGAGTCTGACCTCAGGAGTATAGTAAAACAGCCCAGCATTTTGCTGTTTCAGTTTATCAAGAGTGTGCTCACTGTAAACCCTTGCATGGTAAGTAATTAAAGCTGTGGGCACTTTCATTTTGTTTTGTTTTTGTGGTTTCATTTCGTTGTAGTGCCTCTTAGCAAAATTTTAGACCCTTTTCTATGACCTACATCCTGTTTTCTTACATGAAATAAAGGCTTTAAAATAAAGAGTTGATTAGGACTCCAGAACTCTAGTTGTGATCATATCTGGCACAAAAAATGTAGTTATGATACAAAAGGCTTACTCATTAAGTTGTAAATTTTAAGGAACTCTTTGAAGAACATATGTCTAAGAGCCTGCTTTGGGAAGCATTGCCCCAAATTACAATTTATTTTCTTACTTGTAGTATTACAAAGTACAATATAAACTTCCCTGTAACGAGTACAGGTTTTTCTGCCCGCTGCCGCTGGTCTTGTCCCGCCGCACACCAGCCCCAAATAATACACAGAGACTCTGTATTTGGTACAATACTGTTGGCCTGGTTACTTGTTTCTTATCGGCTAGCTCTGCCTTAATTATTAACCCATTTCTGCTGATCTATGTATTTTCACATGGCCTTCTCTTACCGGGGAGGCGGCTGGCGTCCAGCTCTCTCCAGACTCTCCATCTTGACTCCTTTCTTCCTACTTCCTATTTCCTCCTTGTCTCCTAGTCCCTCCTATCTTCCTTTCCTATTGGCCAACAGTGCTTTATTATTAACCAGTATGAGAAACATACAGAATGACATCTCCCATCACTTCCCATTTTATTTCTCTGATTAATATGTATTATATGATCATATACTTTAATGTGCTACTGTTATATGCTGTGAGTATATATCTCAGTACCTATTATCAATAGCTTTTTGAAGATATTTGCTGTAGCAAGTTATTTAAAACTTATAACACATTAAAAATTAATGTGAAAATAACCCAGATCTCAGAGTTTGATACTATTTGTCTTTATGAGGCTAGGGCTACAATGTAAGTGGTTGAAGTTAAAATTAAAAAAAAAAAAAAAAAATACCATGTTGCTAATTACCTAAAATCTATTTTCACATGAAATTTTCATGTGAAAATAGATTTTAATAATGAAAATTAGCATCCCCACTAGTAGTAAAACAGTTATAAATAAAGAATAAAAGAAAAAAAAAAGGAAAATTAAGGATTCCCAGAAAAATAAAAATAGAGTATATTTCCTGCTCCTCCCCATTCCAGATCACTTTAAAGCACCCCTCTGGGATGGAGAGATGGCTCAGTGAGTGGGTAAATGAGCTCTGGCAGGTGGGCATTGCAGCCTGTCTGTGGTCCCAGCAGGAAGGTGGTGGTGGTGGTGATTCCAGAGCAAGCAGGCTAGTCTACCTAGCCAGGCTATCATTCTCCAGGTTCACCAAGAGACCATGCTTCAGTCTGTGAGATGAAGAATGGCTACTGAGGAAGAGACCTGAAGTCAGTCTTAGAGCACATGTGCATACACACGCAAACACACATGCATACATACATATGTGTACACCATACACACACGAAAGAAATAAAGCACGCTTGTTGATATTTTGGACTAAATGGGAAGGGATAGGATACCACTGTCTTATTTGAATATTAGAAATCTTCCCTCCTTGAGAATATTGGCCCTCTAAAACCCAGGGCATAATTAACTAAAAGCAGAAGCTGTTGCATTTGTCTGAATATCCATAGAAACTTGCACAGTCAGCTGTAAAAATTTATACCTACATATACTTCTTCAGGTGTAGTTTCTCAGAGTATCACCATTTAGGGGTGCTAACGAAAGGTACTGTTCAAATGTTTGTAAACCTGCAAAAAGTTTGGCAAAGCATTGGCAAAAACACGCTGTACAAAACCTTATTTACAATGAAAACCACTAAAATATTGTTTCATATATACATATATATATAATACATACACATATATGTATCATATATACATATGTGTTATATATATATATTATGTAGATTTGGTCATCTGAAGAAAATCTACTGAGATATATAGTACATGTTCAAAAATAAAATTGAAACAGCATGTTACTTAATTGTCCCTACCTAATACTGAGTATTTTTTCCCCTTTTGCCTGTCTAGAGTAACCAAGAACAGGTGTTGCTTCAGGGAGAAGATCGCTTGTACTTAAACTGTGGAGAAGCCTCTGCAAACCCAGAATCCCAAGAGTTCTGCACGCACTGGTCATATACCCACTGGGAGAAGAGCCCATTTGCAGATGGAGGTCTGGAGTCTCAGGGTTAAGCACTTTACTTGGACATCGGCATTGGCATGTTGTACAGGTCAGTGTTCGTTTACTTACTACAAGGGACTCATTCATTGGTAAGGTGTCACTTGGAACCAATTTTTAATTATTTTCATTGCTGTATCTCTTTTAATGCTTTTTCTTTCTATTTGATTCAGAGTACATGCTCACCATTAATAGTGTCAAGAACTAGAAGTTTATTTCTTTTCCCCTCTATGAAGATACTTTTATTTCACTTTGAGCCTCTGTTTTGCTTAATCTAGCTCTGTGGATTTGCATAGCATGGAAAGCAATGATTTGACTAGTACCTGGTACAGCTGACTTTATAGTTTCAGTAATTATCACTTAACAATGCACCCAAATTTCAAATTTCTCAACATTTGAGAAACTTATTGTTTATAATTTTGTCATTATTTGGATTTTTCCAAATTGTGGATTCATGCTGGTACCACATTTAAATTAGCAGGTTCTTTTAGCAATTGTGACGGATTGAACATTTGATATAGATTAATTCTGAAATTTTATGCCAATTAAAATAAATTTGGTGCAGTGAGTAAACTGAAATTTCTTGAAAGAAATTAAATTTGTATGTATAGTTTCAAAGTCCTGAATATTTTCTTTCTCCTTTTGATGCTGAAATGTAGCAGAGCCTGTTCTTGGGTTAGTTTCTTTTTGTCAGTTTCTTTTTTACTTTCTTTCCTTTTGAGATAGAATCTTGCTGTATAGTTGGTCTGGAATTCACAGTCTCTTGTCCCAGCTCTCCCGACTGCTGGGACTATACACGTACACTACCACACTAGCGTCTTTTAATCAGTTCCCTAGTTCCATGATTCTTTGCCTTCTGCTTATATCTCACTGGTTTACTTCAGCGTTTGTGTTATTTTCAGTTGTTTTTAATGAAGATAATGAAAGACAGGATAATGGTGATTCTGTCAAGGGTTAAAGGAGGAATGACTCCTACATTGAAATATAGTATGCACTAAAACAAAATGTGTTTAACATACATAAATTCATGGAATAAAAAAATGTGCATACCATTTTATAATTAGTAACATTTTTGAAATATAAAATTGCATTAGCTACTTCCTTGACTAAAATTTTCCACTGCTCCCTTCTCTCCTGTAGCCATTTCTCTGCTATTTTCATTTCCCCATACTTTGAACTATTCATTCTACACTGGCATCAATGCCAGTTCTGCCTAGCCAGGTCTGTGTTACCAGAGGGCCAAGTAGAGCAGAGGATCAAAGAAGGTAGGTTTGGAACTAAAAAGTCCATCAGGCAATAACAATATTGAATTTTATTCCAGCTCAAAAATTCAGTGATTCTTAGCCGTCCATGAAGCACCCTGTAGACACACAGATATTTCTGACGTGAGGTCTGCAGGTAGCCAAAACACCCAGACAGTACCGCGGAGGTCTGCAGGTAGCATCTAGACACGCAGATAGTTCCGACGTGAGGGCTGCAGGTAGCATCTAGACACGCAGATAGTTCCGACGTGAGGGCTGCAGGTAGCATCTAGACACGCAGATAGTTCCGACGTGAGGGCTGCAGGTAGCAGCAGGGTTTGGTCATCTGACAGTTCACTGTGTTCATGTCTGCAGATGAGCTCGAAGTGTGGGTTCACCTAGGTCTTTTTATCCCCTTACCCATCTCTGTCCTTTTAGTCTTACATAGTGATAAAATAACTGATAAAGTATCTGTTAAATGGTTATTTACCGTAAGGGTAAACAAGTGGTTCTCAGAACATTTCTCTGCTTTGGAGACCTGGTAAACCCTAATGAGAAAGGAACAATAATAAATGCTAATAAAAATGCCACAGTTGTGCTCCTAAGACATTTAAATTGTAGTAGAATTTTTATTTCAAATTCCATAGAATGTTTTAGAGCTGGAAGGGCCTTGGAAATCATACAGCCCACCTAGATTTGTGCATGAGAAAACTGAAACTCAGGAGGTTAACACAACTCATCCAGCATACACAAAGATGCACTGGCCAGCCTAGTCTACATTAAAGAAAAAAGTTCAGTGTACTTTAAAAGTCTAGGTATTGAATGTTGACTCATAGAAGTACTGAAACTTGTAATTTCCTTTGTGGGCTTTTGTTTTGTTTTGTTTTTTTCTTTTCTGAGACAGGGTTTCTCTGTGTAACTTTGGAGCCTGTCCTGGAACTAGCTGGCCTTGAACTCACAGAGATCCGCCTGCCTCTACCTCCCAAGTGGTGGGATTAAAGGTGTGCGTCACCCAGCCCACCCCCCCCCTTTTTTTTTTTTTTTTTTTTAATTTAGAGTTGCCCTGCTCTTTGCTTGCTTGCTTACACTGGAGCCTACCAATTGCATGCAGAGTAACAGTGATCTTTCTGGGTAGTGTTTATATAGTGCTAAAGCTTTGCTGGCTAACCTTCTTAGCCAGTCATGTGGACTCCTTGGAGAAACTAGGGGCATGATCTCATTTCCCTTCTCACTTACCCTCTCGTAGGTTAGGACCACATCCTCCATGAGAGTTGATTTGTTTGTGTGGATTTCTATTTGTGTGCTTACTGTATAATTTAGAGTTCATCTAATAAGCTCCAGCTAATTCTGTGCTGTCTGCTCATCGTCTGGGATACTGAACTATTTTCCTGTTTGTGTGGTCAAGCCTTCTCTGTTTTATGCAACTTAACTTCCAGATTAGAAGCTTTTGCATACAGCACTTGTTAGAAGCAAAGTTAGTAACTGGCAGTATAAACAGTGCCTTTTTCAAAGTTGTTTTTTTTTTTTTTTTTTTTATTTAGTTTTCTTAGTTACAAATTTACAAAGTACTGGAACACAATGTGAAATTAAAACACAAAACCCTTTTAGTTTGTGGCTATGTTTCTTCTAATGTTCAATGTTTTGTATACGATAAACATTGGTTTCTAAAAGGTCTTTATTACTTAGTGTTCTAAAGATAATTGGTTTTATAATTAACCTGGCTCTAACTATTTTAAAAAATTATTTGTCACAAAATGTGGGATGTAAATATCAGACACTTCATTGGGGAGGTCAGTAGTGAATTTTAAAGGCTATTTTGCTCACATCCCCCTAGTTTTATCAGGTGTGGAAGATTATGCTATTTTGCAAAGATCTAATGTAATCTTTTAGTCACACTGGCTAGATAAAACAAGCCTAGGCTGAGACAGTTTAGCAGGAAAAAAGAAGGAAAGCAGTTCATTTCCATTCCAGAGAGACTGGAAACCCCTTTGGTAAGAGTGGTGAGGGTCTGCTCTGTACCTTAGCACCGTCTCCCAGTGATGCGTGTAGCATGGCTCCTGTGCCGACTGTATGACTCAAGATTATGCGTGTGGCATGACTCCTGTGCCGACTTTATGACTCAAAATTATTACTTGTTAGCTGCTCTTTTTGTTCCACTATTTCTGTACACAGCATTAAGTATATAGGACAAAGTTCAGATGACACATAGATCAAAAAGGGTGACACTAGGAAAAATATGTGTACTTTGTCTAGTCATAAACTATTCAGATGAAAATTTTAAGAAATTGATTTTAACTTGTATTTGGGTTTTAAAGATAGATCATTTATAATTTGTAGTATGTCATAGACTTTTGAAGCCTAAAAGAATAGATTTTTTTTTTTTTTTTGTTTTTTTGTTTTTTTGTTTTCTGTAGGGATATACATTAGAGTGTGATAATTTGATAAGCTTTTACTGACTCTTTATGTTGGAATCACTTTTGCAGTGACATGCTAGCTCACATATCACTTTTCACAGGAATTAGTGAAACATCAAAGTTTGGGAAGTGTAGGGTTCTTTAATTTTTTTTTTTTTTTTTTTTTACCCAGTGTCATTGGTACTGTGCCACTTACTCTGGTCCACCTGTTACATTCTTTTTTGAGTAATTGAAAGCTGTTAATTAAGTTAAGTTGACTATTCTAACCCTTTATGGGCTAACTGTATTTAGAGCAATACAAGTGCTTTGGGTATATTGCTTTTACTTGATCCTCTTCTACCTTTACACAATTTTATTGGGTTTTATTATACTTTACATGGCTTTCTGATTTGGATTCATTTTTCTTGAGTCAAATTAAAATTAATCTGAATAAATTGAAGCTTTTCTTAATCCAGGAACAGAAGACTCTTCCATCATTCTGTTTTCTGTTAATTCTCACTCCTCTTCCTCCAGCTGCTCATGAAAGCTAATTAGTAGACCAAGAGAGACATAAGAGTCTGTGAAGCTAAAACTTACTCCACATTAGAAACTCACAGAATTTTCTATACGTTTGAAAGTTTGATAGCACTGATAAAATGACACCGTGAACAAAGGTGTAAGCTAGATATCATGGGAGGCTGTGGATACCTTTGGTGCTTCAGGAGATTAGCATCCTGTATAAGGGTTCTTGTTGATCAGTGTCATTGAACAGCCTAATAGAAAAATAGTAGCTTAAGCTCATAAACAAATGCTCAGTTCCAAGGGTTCTGCTACTAAAGCCACTGCTTGGCACCTTAAACATGCAAGAAGCTGAATCTCATGCTGTGCTGTTATTGCTATAAATTGAAATGTATTTCATAAGTCTCACCAAACTGATATGTTATTTTCTATAGATTTCCAGCACCTATCTAGAAAGCAATTGGCCTATACGGGTGAGTTGTTATTTTGTTGGTTTTTGTGGTAATCATTCTAGGAGTTGAACCCTTATAGATTTGTAAGAGTGCAATTTTAATCTTTGGTGTCTCTACACTTTTGCCACTTTTTAGCTATCAATATTTGAGTTTTAATTTAGCATTTTATATTTAAATCACTTAGCAGACATTTATTTGTAGTCTCTTCACCTTATATTTTATTAAGTACTTTGTTTCTAGTAAAGTGTATATATTTGTAGGAAAGAGCTTTTAATTTTTCCTTTTAAACAGTTTTCAGCTATTGATGAACTTGGACAGAATATCGCTGTGGCTGGCAAGTTTGAGGTTTGCACATTATTCTTTACTCACCAAAAAATGGAAACTTTTTGGGAACATTACTCAGGTTAGTCTTTTTTTTTTTTTTTTTTTTTTTTTTTTAACTAAAAATACATTTCAAGATACAAAGCATAAAGATGAAAAAGGAACTGATAGTGAGGCTAGAGATGTAGCTCAACTATAAAACACTTCCCATATTCACTGGGCTTGGCAGGGACGGAGAAGTGGGGAGACAGATTTGGTGTTGGATAATTGCCAGTAAGTCACTTTTGATGAAATACTTGATAATTTGATAAAAGATCTTGAGTTGAGATAGTTGGGTTTTCATTTTTGGTTAAGATCATTGACAAGTGCTGGAAGATGACTACCATTTGTGGTTTCTATACAACTAAGGGAACTCATCAGTTCAAATTCCTAGAGGCCATTTAGATGCTTGGTGGAAATGGCAAGTCACCTGTAATGCCATCATGGGGAGGTAGAGATGGGGGATCCCTGGAACAAGCAGCCCGGAGAAACTAGCCATATCAGCCAGCTCTGGCTTTGATTGAGAGACATTACCTCAAAGAATAAGATAGAAGAGTCATCAAAGAGTATTCCAGATATCAAACCCTGGTCCATATGTACACAAAACATACACACTCACTCACACAAGTACATAGATGTGAAAAGAAGGAAAAAGATTTGTAACAATAATTGTATAGCTTAGGTTTAATGTAATCTTTAAAATTGAGGTATCAGATGTGGTGAGACTAAATGTCTAGAAATGTAGAGATCATTCTGTATGTGATATGTGTATTTGTATAGCAGAGTCGGGATGGAGGGTCAGAGGGGAGAATTAATTAGATATTATAAGAATCAACCAGGAAGAAAGAAGGAAAATTAAAGTAGGTGTCTTTTGTGTATCAAGTACTTTAAAATGTTTTTTTATGTTATTATAAACCCAGTTAGGACACTAATACTACCATTTACTAAAAGTTGGGATTCAGGCACTCATCTGATGAAGAATAAAACCAGAATTTAAATCAAGTTGTTTTAGATGTAGGATTAATGATGCCATCTGGTATTGAGGTATTTTGAACAACATAGGTATTTCTTTATAGGAGTTAAGAGTATCTTTTTTTTTTTTTTTTTTTTTAAGGTAAGATATGGTACATTATTAATAAAGGCCCTGGAGAAATAGGCAAGAGAGAATGAATCAGAAATAATTTGAGCTTCCTAAGAGTATTTTGTTACTTTATTGAAATTTTGGGTAACATAATTAAGGTAAATACATCTTAATATTTTCTTTTAAGGAGCAAAATATGATTGTGACTGGTGGATTAGCCTGGTGGAATGACTTTATGGTCCTTGCGTGTTATAACTTAAGTGACCGTCAAGAAGAGGTAACTTTTTCCCCCCTAAGAAATAATAGATTTTTAATTTTCAAACTAAGCAGGATTTAATTTTAGGTATACAGCAATCCATTAAAAACTGAACAACATTTTAATTTAATAATTTATCATGTTACAATAGAATTAGTGTTCTTGGTTATTTATGTTCTTTTTTAAGGTGACAATTTAAATTTGTAGATAACCTTTTATATCATAGCACCTAAAAAGCTGAGACAGAAGGATTATGAGTTCAGGTCCATTCTGAGCTAAATATTAAACCTGTCTCAAAAAGTAAATGAACTTAAAAAGGCTATCCTTTTTAGCTAGTAGATAATATATAAAGATTGGTAATAAAACATTAAAAGCAAAAAATAGATAAGAATGACTGTTTTTAAGGATAGGTTTATTAATTTATTGATTTGTATAGTGGTCTTGAAGTTTTGGTAGTCTCGGTAGTAAGATTTGAGTACACAAAATCTGAAACATGGTCTCATAATAATACATTACTCTTGATCACATTACCTTTAGTTATTTATAAGAAGTACTAGATAGCCAAAATAAAAATACTCTCACTTTTTGCTAAATCATTGGTAATTTTTTTAACTCCTACTACTTTAAAGTGAATTGGAGGTAGTGGGTGGTATATAGATAAAAATATGACTGATACCAAACATTCTTGGTAACCATCTTTTGTTTTTATAAATTGCTTTTTGTTTTTTTTTTTTTTCCCCCTTTAGCTCAGAATCTACCTACGAACATCAAATCTGGACAATGCCTTTGCTCATGTCACCAAAGCACCAGCAGAAACATTACTGTTGAGTGTCTTCCGGGACATGGTGGTAGTGTTTAGAGCAGACTGTTCAATATGCCTTTATAGTATAGAAAGAAAATTTGATGGGTAAGTTTATCATGGGTGAGTGACTTTTGTTCCTGTTTGTGTGTCCTCTATTATATTCTCTAAAAACCTTTCTCCATCCTCATAGTTTTCATTATAAGGAGTTTTGGTGATGTTTATGTAGCAGCTATGTAGAAAAGAGAAGAACCTGTGCTAACTGCTTGAACTTGTCTTCCTGTGTTAGTGGTGGTGGTGGGTGGGGGAGGGGGATAATAATTTTAGCTGAGATAAATCTTAGATACTTTTTTCACAATTTACAAGTAGGTGGCTAACAGCTGTCCTGCTTTCTGAACACTTGGAAAAAGTGGAGGAAGTATCCTTAGAAAGCTCACTTAGTCTCTGCTGCAGTGGATGATGTAGTCTGCAGCACAGAAGCCCAAGTCCTACTGCATTCATTACATGTAGCCCTGTATTGTTGACATTTAGTCAGCATACAGTGTGTAGGCCATACTACTTGGGTTTTCCTTTTGTTCTTAGAAGTATGTTTGTTTAATTAGGACATGACATATATTTGCTGAAATACTGTGATGTGTTAATAATACAAAGATAAAAAGTTAAGACATTCCTACTTCATTAATTAAACTTTTGTCATTTCACAACCAAACAGTTGTCTCTGCCCACCACCACCCCAATTCCCAGGTGGTTCTATTCATATAGCTGCTTCCATACTACTGGTTTTCGGTGGTGTAGTTGTGTTGTGGTTTTTTTTTTTTTTTTTTTCCTGCTTTCCAGCATTTTGCTGCCTTTCTTGTCTTATTCCTGTATATGTTCCTTGGACCCCTTAACATTAGTAGTCCTGTCAGAAGGGTATTTAGGGAGGCGAGGACAATAGGAAGAAGATATTTGGGTCAGCTGTAGACATAAAATGTGCTGTAATATGGAGAAAAACAACATTGTTGAGCTATGAGCTTTTTTTGTCTTTACAGTTCGAATACTACGGCTAATGTTCAAGTTCTTCAGGAAGTCTCCATGTCACGGTATATTCCTCACCCTTTCCTGGTAGTGTCTGTCACACTGACATCAGTGAGTACAGAGAATGGAATCACCTTGAAAATGCCACAGCAGGTACTAATACATTTTCAAAGCTCTTAGGAGTTTACATTTCCGTCTTTATGTCAATATTAGGACCTGTTAATTTGTTCAGCAAATTCAAACCAAGTGTCTATGTTGTACCTTGCATGAAGATGCTGAGTGTTAATGGCAAACCAAGCAGACTAGTTTCTGGGTCAGCATTAAACAGTAATTACACATATATAAACTTCTCTGAGGGCATATACTAGAAACCTGATAACAGCCTGTATAATCATCAGCTTATAGAAAGGGCTTCATAGAGATATTTAACTTAGTGAAGATCAAATTAAAAAGTTGGAATATAAAAAAGAGTTAGCCTGAGGCCACAGCACTACAAGGCAAGTTTTGCTTCAATTATCATCACCCTTTAGGAAACAATGAGGCTGATTAACAATCAGGCCTCTCAGGACAGAGTGTGAGCTCCCTGTTAAATTCCAGACTCGGTTCAGGATCGTCTGCCAGGGAGCTTGTAAGGAAACTCAGAATTTTGAGCATGCAGTAACTCTTATTTTTCTGAAAACTCATGAAGTTGTCCCAGAGTAGTATTATAATCACCTGTAACAATGTCAAATACTAGGATTGTTTAATAATAGGCTTTTTAGGCTTTTTTTTTTTTTTTTTTGGTTTTTCGAGACAGGGTTTCTCTGTATTGTTTTGGAACCTGTCCTGGAACTCACTCTGTAGACCAGGCTGGCCTTGAACTCACAGAAATCTGCCTGCCCCTGCACCACCAACAGCTGGCTTAATAGCCGCTTTTTGAAGAAAAGACATATATATATATATATATATATATATATATATATATATATTCTTCTAAAGAAATATGTAAAATATAGTGGTGAAATCTACCATCTTAAAATGAAGGTCTGGATATACAGCTTAGTGGTAGAACATTGACCTGGCATGCATATGGCCCACTATGAAAATTAGTCATAGTATAGTAAATTCTTAAGTCCTTTCAAGGCCTTTGAAAATGTTTGTGGAATTTGTCTACATGTGAATGCCCAGATTGCCAGTGTCTTAATTCACGTGTGTGTATTTGTTTTCCTTTTCCTGCCACTCAGCTACATTTATCTATTGTCTGAGTGCCTGACTCTGATGGTTCCCAGATATCTTTTAAATTCTGTTTTCAATCTCATTCCTACATTTGATTAGAAGATCCTCATTTTATGACAGGCATTCCAAGTTTAATGTTGTCCCCTCCCCCTTCCTGCACATTCTTGACAAGTGTTGTGCCACTGGGCTACATCTACAGTTTGCCAGTTCATATATAAGCAAGAATATTAAGTATTATAAAGCTGGGATTACATAAGGCAACTGATTTTTACTTCCTCTGACTGAGCCCTAAATGATACCGAAAGCTTAAACCTATCAATTAAGCGGGTATCAAAATCTGAGACACAGAAAGCAGCAGATAGCCCCTCTCTTCTCGAGTCTCCTTTAGCTTATGCAGCCATAGGCTTCCCCATGTTTGTTCTGGAAAGGCTTAGGTGACATCCCAGGCTCTTTCCTTCTGTGTTAGCTTTTCAGCCTTAGCATAGTACTTATGTTAGCATATCCATCTCTGCTCAGTTGCCACACACATTTCTATTTGAAAATCTCAAATTTCTTTCCAGTTTAATGTGGGTGAGTGGGGGAAACATACTCATTTGCCCTTCCCTGATTGTTCCTCCTTGCTGATGTCCTCAACTTTTCAAGAAAGATTTATTATTTGTAATTATGTGTTTTGTGTGTGTGTGTGTGTGTGTGTGTGTGTGTGTGTATCTATCTGTGGGTATGTGCATGTGTGTGTGCAGGTGCTGGAGGAATCCTGGAGCTGGAGTTACAGGCCATTGTGAGCAGTCAGCGTGGGTGCTAGGAACAGAACGTGGGTCCCCTGTGATGAGGAAATACTCTTAACCACTTTAGCCATCGCTCCAACACCAACCTCAATCCCTCCAGTACCTTGAAGCCATCTCTGGTTCAGACATGCTTTTTCTAATTTTTTTTTTTTTTTCATGCCTAAGTCAGCACTAAATTCTGTTCTATTTTTAAGTCAAAATAATCTTCCTCTTTACATGTGAAAATACTTGATCTGTCTGCTAGTTGGTTTAAAGCAGAGTTTCTCAAGCTCTCCTGTGTGCTTATTGAGGCAGGGTGGTAGAATTTACAGTAGTAATTGTAGTCTCTTTATGCTGGCATTTGATTGAAATGTCCATAGTAAAATGTGCAGAGTAATTCCTCATTCCTGAAGTCAATATAGTAATTAGTCCTAACTAGGCTTTTATTTTATTTTATTTTATTTGAATGATTCTTTTGTTTGAGAGGCACGTGTGGTAGTTTGTGTCCTGCTACCCCATTGACCGACTTTCCAAGCTTTCCTTGAAAATCTGTTGTCATCCATCTTGATCATTCTCCCTTTTTCCAGTGGAACTGTCCTGTTCTAGCTCTGTTTTTTCATTTACATTTCATGCTTAACTTATAATACTAGCCCTTTCCATACTACCTGAAACTTCCTGACCTTCCAAGTCTCTCTAGACCCTTTTAAGCCTTCTCTAGCTAGGTCATTGAAATGACCTCTGATTTTTTTTTTTTTTTTTTTTTTTTTTTTTTTTTTTTTTGTGGACTTCTGGAGTTCTCTTAGTTCTTGCAGAATAACTCTGTTCTGCACTCATAGTCACTAACTGCACAGTGGTATGCTTTGTTCCATCATAACCAGGACACTTTATCCTCAGAGTCTAGCAAAGTGGCTATACATGGTGCAATCCCAGGAACTGTTGTTGGTTGTTTAACCTTTAAATTTTACTAGGTGGAGAGGGAATGTCAAGAACATGTCTATTCATCAGTATCGATTCGTTTCTCTTCCTGACATTTCAGGCTCGCGATGCAGAGAGCATAATGCTCAACCTTGCTGGACAGCTCATCATGATGCAGAGGGACAGGTCAGGCCCTCAAATCCGGGAAAAAGACAGTAACCCTAACCAAAGGAAACTCGTGAGTAAAAGTATAAGGCATTGCAAGCCCTGAGAAGTTATGAGGTTAGGCTTTGTGAGTAGAGGGATTTAAATGGAGAGCAGTGTGTTGTGATTAGAAACTAAGGGAATAAATAAAATTCATCTTACAACTCAGCTAAGAAGAGTGAAGGGCAAGTCCCAAAATACTAAAGTGTCTCATTTTCCAGATGTTACTGCATAGTAAATTTCAATTTCTTAGATTTCAGTGCATATCCTTTGAAACATCACTGCTGTTATCTCTGATTCTAAATAAATGTCCCTACTTTAAAAACAACAAAATACTAATTCTGAAAGTCTACAAAGCTAGTACCTATAAGCTTGAGCCTACGTGTTTAATAGGCAAACCAGAACAGCAATTCTTGTGTCTCCTCCTTCAGCTGCCGTTTTGTCCTCCGGTTGTACTAGCCCAGTCGGTGGAAAATGTCTGGACTACCTGTCGAGCAAATAAGCAAAAACGTCACCTTCTGGAGGCCCTCTGGCTGAGCTGTGGTGGTGCAGGGATGAAAGTGTGGCTCCCCCTCTTTCCTAGGGATCACCGCAAGCCCCACTCCTTCTTGTCCCAGAGGATCATGCTGCCTTTCCACATCAACATCTACCCCCTGGCCGTGCTGTTTGAAGACGCATTGGTCCTTGGTGCTGTCAATGACACTCTACTCTATGACTCTTTGTATACGCGGAACAGTGCTAGGGAGCAGCTAGAGGTGCTCTTCCCTTCTGTGTTGTGGAGAGAACCTCTCAGATCCACCTCCACCATATCCTCCGTCAGCTTCTGGTCAGGAACCTTGGAGAGCAAGCCCTGCTCCTGGCCCAGTCCTGTGCTGCGTTACCTTACTTCCCTCATGTGCTGGAGCTCATGCTGCATGAAGTTCTGGAAGAAGAAGCTACCTCACGGGAGCCCATTCCCGATCCCCTGCTTCCCCACTGTGGCCAAGTTTATCACCGAGTTCCCACTTTTCCTTCAGACAGTCGTGCACTGTGCCAGGAAGACTGAATATGCTCTGTGGAATTACCTTTTGCAGCTGTTGGAAACCCCAAGGACTTATTTGAGGAATGTTTGATGGCTCAGGATTTGGACACAGCTGCCTCTTACCTTATTATCTTACAGGTAACAGTTCTCTTTATAAAAGGATAAGAATTATTGATCTTAATCTTAGAGAGGAAGGTATGTCCTGTGATAATAATGTTTATGGAATTAATGTTCATATTTCTCTATTGTGTATATCTTCCATTTTGAAGAGCTGAAGCTTGCCAAATGACTAGATTTCCTTGAATGTTAAAAAAGGGACATTACAAAAGTATTTCGGCTGTTTACGCCTCAATAGGCCTAAAACAGATTAATGATTTCAGAATATAATTTTAAATAAGACTGAAGGGATGTGTGTGTGTGTGTGTACATATGTGCATCCATTCAGGTAAACACATGCTTTGGTGTGCATGTAAGAGTCAATAGTATTGACCCTTGCCTTCAACCTTGTCTGAGATGGTGTCTGTCCAGCCGGGAGAACTGGGTTTTGTGCTCCTGTGGACTCTGTCTCCATCTCCTCCAGACTACAGATGGATGTGCTTCTGTGTCAGACCGTGCCAGGCTTTTTTATTTTTAACATGGATTTTGAATTCATCAAGCTTGCAAAGTAACTGAGCCATTTCCTCAGATGAAATGTTCTTATTATATGAAATATATATGATATACATGTTCCATTAAAAATACTACATTAGACTAATAAAATGTAAGAAACATTAACAGTGAAAAAATGGTACTTTGGACATGAGTGCTTTCATTACAGTAATAGAAATTTTTCCTTACAGTATGGAGTTGCTGACAGGATTCTGAATAATTTTAATGCAGCATCTGTAGGGGCATCCAATCTCAGCCTTTCTGTGGACAGCTGGGAAGACCCAGGGCTGCCACAATAATAACCTGCATAACACATTTTTTCTAAAATAATGAGATCCCAGAATATTTGTTTTATTATGTACTTGATAAAAGGGCTAGAAAGTTTGTTGCCATTGTGTGATATGAATTTCAAAGGCTACACTGAAGTTCTTTCATTTATACAAAAGCTAACCATAAGCCCAGTTAGATTCTCAGACTGAAGCAAATTTCTTGACATATTTGCTTCATGACAAGTAACTGAAGCCAGAGGAAACAGCCAGGCAGAGGCTAGTGGCCTGAAGCTTCTGGTATTCATTTGGCTAGTTAGCCCTAATCGTTAGTATTCGGGCATCTGTACCGGCCTGCCCTTGGGGTTCTGACAGGATACGCCCCTCAGCTGCTGCCACTGAGAGCACCACCTGTGTGCATTCACTATGTTCCCTTTTAAAGGGCCCTGCCCACCTCCCATCCTTCTCTCTTTCTCTGTCCCCCTTTTCTCTCCTACTGCTCTTGTCCCTGAAGGCCAGTTCTCCCCCTCTCCCCTTTCCCTTTTAAAATCCCTTTTTTTCCCCTTAATTAAAAAAAAAAAAAAAAAAAAAATCCCCAGCTGTGGAGTTGGGACTTTCCTCCCTCAGACTGCCTAGGTTGCTGGGATTGGGGGAAAGAGGCTCTAGCTCAGCCTGTTGGGCAGCTTTCCATGAAAGCAGGCAGGGTGCTAGTTTGTAAAGAAAGTGCTGGAAACACCCAGTGTGTACCAGTGCTGCCTGGCCCTGCTTAAAGCAAAAATTTTAGTCAGCTCTTCAAAAACCACTACAGGAGACAGACAGGCAATACTACATTTAGCTTGCTTCTCTATTGACATTAAACAATTTAGATAACTTTGTTTCCTCATCTCCTAAAATGGGAAGGAATGATGTAACTTTTTACAGAAAGGTGTGATGAATGTAAGGTATATATTATCTGACATGTAACAGTGCAATGAATCATAATATGAACTATACTAGCATAGTGACTGCCTCTCTTTCCCCCATATGGTACTTTTAAAGCTCCTTTTTAATCTTATTGTTAAATTGCCCCCAGCCAGCTAATTCTTGGGATGAGGAAGTGTCAAGAAAAAGACTTACACTATCTTCCAAAATTGTAACACATATATCGATTGTTGTCTTCCTTGGTTATTTTTATAGAATATGGAAGTTCCTGCAGTAAGTAGGCAGCATGCCACCCTTCTATTCAACACAGCTCTGGAACAAGGCAAATGGGACCTGTGTCGACACATGATTCGGTTTCTTAAAGCCATTGGTTCTGGAGAATCTGAGACACCTCCGTCCACACCCACAGCTCAGGTTAGTTGCAGAATTGTACAGCTTCTCTAGGGCATACCACCACAGAGCATCTTTGGCTAAAACTATTGCATGCTGTGTATAACCATAGGAACCCAGTTCAAGTGGTGGATTTGAGTTCTTCAGGAATCGGAGCATCAGTTTATCCCAGTCAGCTGAAAATGTTCCTCCTGGTAAATTCAGCTTACAGAAAACACTAAGTATGCCATCTGGTCCTTCTGGAAAAAGGTAAAAGAATAAAGAACAGTTACTGTTTTCAGAGCATCTGTCACATTGCATTTCAAGGCATTTGTATAATTGAGTCTTAAAAGGATATTTAATTCAATTGCAATTTTTTTTTCATTTACAAAAGCCTTAGAGAAGACTTCCCTTTTCTTTCTCTTTCCTGTTAAGTTCACTCCTGTTCTGTGTAAGTTTTATGCTAAAGTAGATCTAGATGCACTTGTTCTAAATGTAATTAACAGATTACTTCTGATGACAGAGGAGCAAAACAAAAGGTTAGATATTGGGAGAGCTAAAGGACTGGTACATTCTGAGGACCAAAGACTATGTCTTTCCTGGTGGAAAATGGTCTCTGGCACTGTGGCTATAGACTCACAGCAGTGGTGATGGTTGGGATTTCTTCTGGCTTCTGGAAGTCCTTGCATTGCTTCTTGGCTCTTACATTTTCTCTTCTCTAGGTGTTTCTTTTATTTATATTTTTACTACAATCCTGGGCACATATCAAGAGTTAACATGTTGTATTATGATATTTTACTTTTTATCCTGTCACTGGTCATTAATACTCCTCCCCCCATACAAACATACTATAAAATAAAGCCATGGAGGTGTGTCAACAATTGCCAGCCACCTCTGGATTTAAATATTGGTTAAATATTGAGTACTTACCAAAAGCTCAGATGCCAGGCACTGTTCTAAGCATTTGCATGTTTAGGTCTTAATCCTTAAAACTCTGAGGGGTTGTTCCTCTTTGTGCAGGTGAAAAAACAGATGCTCAAAAAACTACTTGATTATGTTCACGTGACTAAGGGAAAGCAGAGTGAACTCTAAATCTGAGAAGTCCTGCTTCTGGTGCCAGGCTTTCTACTGCTCATACCTTCTAGCATGAATTCTAATTGGTGTTAGAGTCAGCTATCAGGATGAAAGCTGAAGGATCAAAGGGCAAAAGCAGCAGCCACTAGAGCTCTTACCTCTACCAATGCTCAGACCAAAGGGAGAGCCTGCCCCTCCGACTGCACCCTCAGACTGACTTCCTAGACTGCGGCCATCTCTGTGAATCATCAGATGCATCTCTCTCCTCTCTCATCCCACCTTATTCCTTTCTCTGCCTGGCCATGTCACTTCTGTTTCCACCTCCTTAGTGCTAGGATTAAAGTGCTGTTGTGTAGCCCATGGTGGCCTTGAACTCACAGAGATCTGTCTGTCTCTGCCTCCTGAGTGCTGGGATTAAAGGTGCACGCCGCCACCGCCTGGCCTGTGTGGCTGACTAAAGTGGCTGGCTCTGCTTTCTGACCCTCAGGCAGCGTTATTTGTTAATCACAGACAGACATCACCATAGCCCTGTTTCTCACTTCGCGCCCACCACTGTGTTACCAGACCCGCAACAAGGTGCTCATGTCTGTGAGAGATGAAAGGCTGTGTTTGTTTTTCATTAATTTTTGTAAGTTTTGTTTTCATGTGTCTGTATAGCTCAAGTAGAAAGGTTTTCTTTTATGTTTTTCCCTTTTTTTTAATAGTATTTCCAAATGCATTATCTCTTTGCTCTCCCCCACCTCCCTTCAACTACATATCTCCTCTTCCTGGTCTGACTTCTTTGTCTCCTGTTTATTATTATTCCATATATATTCAATTCCACAAATTGGTCTTAAGAGGTAACTTTGTGCCTGGCATGGTAGACTACACCTTTAGTCCTAGCACTTGGGAGGCAGAGCCAGGATGATATCTGTGATTCAAGTGTAGGGAGTAAGGTTTTTCCTCCCGCTGCCGCTCTGGTCCTGCCGCCGCCAGCCCCAAATAACACACAGAGGCTCTGTATTTGATATAATTCTGTTGGCCAGGTGCTAGTTTCTTATCGGCTAGCTCTGTCTTAAGTATTAACCCATTTCTGTTAATCTAATATTTCCACGTGTTCTTCTTACCAGGGAGAGGCAGCTGGCGGTTCTTCCTTCTCCAGACTCTCCATCTTGACTCCTCCTTACTCCTTCCTCTTTCCTCCTTGTCTCCTAGTCCCACCTATCTTGCTTTCCTATTGGCCAACAGTGCTTTATTCATTAACCAGTATGAGAAACATATATACATAATGGCATCTCCCATCATTCAAGGGCAGCCTGGACTGTATAGTAAATTCCAGAACTTCATAGAAAGATCTTGTCTCAAAATTTTTAAAAAAGGTAACTTTGTGCCTTAAGTTCTTATGGTATAACATGGAGAGAAGCCCTGAAGGTTTTCTTCCTATTCAGGCATAATTAGATATTGGATCTCTTGCTTACCTTTCAACTTTATCAATGCTACCTGAAAGTGCATGGAGTTAGTTGTTCAGTGAGTTGTTCTTTAGCTGCTTCTGTCTCTTACAGATGCAAAGACAGTGACTGCGCTGAGAACATGTACATTGACATGATGCTGTGGAGACACGCTCGGCGCCTCTTAGAAGATGTGCGGTTAGAAGGACCTTGGCTGCTTTGCAGCCCAGCTAGGCTTTGAACTAATCAGCTGGCTTTGTAAAGAACGTACTCGAGCTGCCCGTGTAGACAACTTCGTAGTAGCCCTGAAGAGACTTCACAAGGATTTCCTGTGGCCACTTCCCATTATCCCAGCCTCTTCTGTTAATTCCCCCTTTCAAAAATGGGAAGTGCCGAACAGGTAATGTGGACTTCTAACAGTTTTACAAAACTTGTATTTTATTTTATATATTTAGACATGTTGGACTTTCTTTCAAGGAACTCTTTTCATTCCATATTTAAGCAAATAAAGGCCAATTTTTTTGTACATTAGCCTCCATTTGGCCAAGGATAGATAGATAGATAGATAGATAGATAGATAGATAGATAGATAGATAGATAGATAGATCAAGTAGAAACTGTTGCCTCTTAAGTCTTTTGGGCTTGAAGCTTAACCCACAAATCTAACCATTATTAAATTATGAACAGGTTTAAAACTGAATGTAAAAGCTCCTATATTTACCTTATTGCAGCAAAGAGTCTAGAATGAGTTAGTCATGAACCTCAAATAAACTTGGCTGTGATTTGCGACAGAACTCACCCCGGTGATCAGTTGTCTTTGACACTTGTGCCATTTCCTGAACTTGGAGAAGAAAAAGTAAAACCATGTTTGAGTAAAAGAAAAAAGTTTGTAAATTCAGATAATTTCCAATTACTTAAACAAAACCTTTTTATCATGGTGTTTGGAAACTTTGGGTTATCTTTAGAACCAAGGCAAGTCATTTAAATCACTTTAGAGAGTAAAGTATGGCCTAGGTACAGTAAGAAACATAAGATGGCTCATAATTTCACATCCCTGCCTTTGAAGAAATGATACTGCATATGATGGTGATTGGCTATGAACTGATTGTGTTGGGAATGACACTACACCTCTTTTGCTTCTGGATACAGTGGGAGAGCAGCTGTTAAAATCTCAATCATCTGACCCTTTCCTAACCTCTGAGATGGATGCTGGCATCACTAACATCCAACGGAGTCAGAGCTGGCTCAGCAACATTGGCCCCACCCATCGTGACACAGACATAGCCTCATCCCCCTGGACCACAAATGCAAGATGCTTTCCTGTCACCATTATCTAATAAAGGTATATATCTAATAAAGGAACAAGTTGTAGCCCTTCTTGAGTTTTGTTTGGGGAAAGATCATGTACCATAGCCTTTCCAAGTTACAGCATCATACTTCTTTGAATATCCTGAAGAATTAGCCATTAAACATCTGCCTACAGAGGTAAATAGGGACAAATTGGCTTTACCATATTTATTTTAGATATATGAAATATATAAGTAAATCTTTACAATCAAGTTTTTAAATTTATATTTATTGTGATGTGTGTGGGAGAATACACATGTGGAAGTCAGAGGACAACTTGGTGTAATTCTCTCTTTCCATCTTTTTGTGGGTTTCTGAGATCAAACTCAGGTTGTCTGTCAGGATTATGTCATCGGGTGGCAAGTACCTTTACTCTCTGAGCCACCTTGCTGAGGTTTTGCTACTAATTTTGATAATAACTATATTTGAATTCCAGGTAATAAAATGTCATCATCACATAAGGAATTCTTTTGTTTAGAATAAGTAGATTTTTGTCATAAAAATGTACTTTAATCACTAATTTTTATTTCTTTTATAAAGTTTATGAAAAATCCTTTTTTGGTTTGTTATATATAATTTTTATTTTACCTCTTAGCTTTCAAAGCCTGAAATATTTATTATGTGACCATTTTACAAAACATACCAATTTCTGCTGTACAGTAGTGGTTAAACTACAAACAGAAGAAGTTTTAAATCAATTTGTGTTTCTATGGGGTTATAAAATATAAAAGCTTCAATAGTAATTGTGCTTTGTGTGTGTGTGTGCGTGCGTGCGTGCGTGCGTGCGTGCGTGTGTGTGTGTGTGTGTGTGTGTGTGTGTGTGTGTGTGGAGTAGGGGATAGCCAATACTTGGGATTGAACCTAGGACCCCCTGCATGCTGAGCAAGCATGTATTACTGAACTCTTCCTTAAGCCCTCCTCTCTATTCTTTGGTTTTGTTTTTTATTATATTTTAAATCTTGAGAACTGGGTTTCACTCCATGCTGCCCTTTTCTTTAGATCCTCCTGTCTCAGCCACCCAAGTAGCACAGGCCAGATTAAATTTTTTTTCCTCTTCTTTGTTTTTGTTTTTTGAGACAGGTTTCTCTGTAGCTTTGGAGCTTGTCCTGGAACTCAATCTGTAGACCAGGCTGGCCTCAAACTCACAGAAATCCATCTGTCTCTCCTCCTACGTGCTGGGATTAAAGGCAACTGCCACCACTGCCCAGTGTGTCCTGTTTTCTTAATGTTCAGGTGTTTACCCAGTATTGGGCTACCATTTTGTCATCACAGTTAGTGATGCATCTGTGATGGGTAAAAGCTTGTAACTACTATTACTTTTAATTATAAAATTAGAATGCTTTCCCACTTGAAGGCGTATAATTTTTTATTTATTTAAAATATATGTTGTTCATATATTGGTTGTTTTAGCAATAGATTGATTTCATTTTGAAATCTTGAGAAGTCAGCATTTTTTGGAAATAACTAACTTATAATGAAAGGGAAATACTTAATTCTGAAATGAAAAGCTCATTTATAACTTCTGAAATTTCTTCATCAGGTGATGAATGCAGCATTGGTTCAGCCACTGACTTGACTGAAAGCAGCTCCATGGTGGATGGAGACTGGACAGTGGTGGATGAAAATTTCTCTACACTCAGTTTGACTCAGTCTGAGTTGGAGCACATCTCCATGGAGTTGGCGAGTAAAGGACCTCATAAATCTCAAGTTCAACTTCGGTGAGTTTCTCAGATTGTTGAAAACACAAAAGGCCTAGCCAGATTTCTATGTGCTGGTGGGAATTGGAGCTATTTTCTTAGAGCGCACTGTCCCTTGTGTATCAGATCTCTTTCATACAAATCATTCTATTGTTGCTTTATATATAGTTACTTGCTGCACATTTTCATGGAGGCGGGTTGTCTGGATTGGTGTGTTGTCATCAGCCTGATTCTCAGAGAATCCTCAGTAGTCAGTCAGATTCTCAGTATTGCCCAGTCTTCAGAGATGGATGGAGAAATGTTACAGAACATAAAAACGGGGCTACATGCAGTGGACCGATGGGCCTCTACAGACTGGTAAGTCCTAGTTTCTAGAAACTTGGTAATTCTTAGATGAATAATGACTTTCACACTATGATTGTTATGATTGTAAGGTGTAGTAGCACATGTGTAGATCCTAGCACTTGGGAGGCAGAAGCAAGCAGATCTCTGGATTTGAAGTAAGCCTGGTCTACATAGCAAGTTTCAGGTCAGCCAGAGGTACATGATAACCTATCTCCTCCAACCCACCCACCACCACAAAACCTAACAACTTATAACTCATTCATTTTGGAGGTCTGTAAGTGTGCGGAACTAAAAGTGCTTTCATATTTATGTTTTAAAGTCATTTTCTTTAACCATTGTGTACTCAGACACTTGAATGGGTACTACCTATTGAATAGTTCATAGCGTTGGTTTATAATGTATAATGTGGGAAGCATATGCTGGCTTAAGATGCCATGTAAGTGATCTAAAAATGAGATTGGAACTTAGATTGGTAATTCTGTAGTTAAAATAGTATAAAGTCTACATGAAAAGACAGGTTATGTAGTCTATAAATTTCAACACTCCATGACAATTAGTAGTGTCACTAATTAGAAGTAGTGGGTAATAATTGAGAGGGCATGTCCTTTTCAGCAGTCATGAATAGATTTGAAGCTGTTTACTTCATTTACTTAGGTTTTCCTTACTTACCAGATGTATTTTAGATACTTTCCAGATGATCTTTTTGAGTCTAGAATCTGTTGTTCCTTATTTGTTATTGTAATACTAATTTTGAAGTAACAGTCCTTGCCCTTACTACTGAGAAATTTAAGACTCAGCCTTGAGTCATGTGCCTTTTTCTGAGAAGGGTGCTTGAGAATCTTCTCTCCATCACTTGTTTTACTGTACTGATGTCTGCTAGGAGTTTATCTCAACACTTAACCAAGGTGTGTGTGTGTGCGCACGTGCGTGCATTGTATTTGTGTACACGTGCAGAAGACAGAGGTCAGCTTCTGGTGCCATTCCACAGGAGCTAGTCACCTTGTTTTTTGAGACAGGGTCCCTCACTGGGATGTGGGGCTCACTGATTCGTCTAGGCTGGCTGTCCAGCATGCCTCTAGAAACCCTATCTGTGCCTCCTCAGCACCACCACAACTTTTTATGTGGGTGCTGGGGATTGAACTCAAGACCTCATGCCTGCACAAGCACTTTATTGACTGAGCTATCTCCCCAGCCCCTCTAGCAAGTCTTTTGAATTACAGCAGATGACAACTAATTTTTCCCCCTTTACTCAGCCCTGGATATAAGCCATTTTTAAACATCATTAAGCCACAACTGCAGAAGCTCAGTGAAATAACAGAAGAGCAGGTCCAGCCTGACACCTTCCAGCCAGTAACAGTGGGTAAGACGCCTGAACAGAGCAGCCCCAGAGCAGAGGAGAGCAGGGGCTCCTCCAGCCGTGCAAGCATCTCTCAAAGTGAGACTGGGAATAACAATGTGGTCAGCCGGAATGAAGAGGACACAACACAAGCTGATGATGAGGAGCCATTCCAGGATGGGGCTTATGACTGTTCTGTGTCCTGACAACAGTGAGACACATCACAGTAGGCAGTATTAATCACAGCAACAAGCAACTGAGTGCATAGTGGTGACCTGGCTGAGTGATTTAACAGGAAATAGAACAAGGGTCAAAACTCTTTCATAAAGTATTATTATATGTTATAACTCTTCCTCTAAATCTCTTTGACTCCATAAAAAAAATGTGGTATCAGAACATATTCATAAGAAAATTTAAGCTCCACTAGAAAGTAACAAGCATAATATAGACATAGAGTATTTTGGTTTTACTCACAACGGATTGACAGTTGTTAATGTGTAGGGATTACTTTGCCCGGGAGCTTTTCCACTACTTATAGCTTATATATTTTCAGTTCAGTGTATGTCTAGGCTGTTTTTGTTTTTGTGGGGTCGGTTGTTTTTTTTAACTTTCTTTTAAATAAATGCTAAGGTGCTTGCTGTAGCTCTTCAGGTACCTGAACTACTTGTTTGCTTCCTTGTATAGAGTCAGCTAGACTCCAGTTGGTCCTCTGAATAGATGCTGCCCTTGCACAGTATGGGTCAGTGGACTCCATTCTCTAGCAGACCTGACTAATGGAAGCGATACCTGTGAGTTAATGTGCCTGTTTGAGCAAGCTGAATTCCTACTAGATCAGTGCGGACAGAGGGTGAAGGGTTCTTGTCAATTATGCTGACACCACTAAATTTTTGTATCAAAGAACTGTATCTTTTTGTGAATACTCTTGTGTAAATATATACAAAGGCACTGTCCATATTTTTAAGGCATGTATTATACTCTGTAAGGTTTTATGCTGGATTCTGCATGACTATACTCACTCTTGGAATAAAGACTTGTTCTTCTTTCCAAAATGAGAGGTCTTCATAGAGACAGGTTATTGGCTCAGCTGTAAAGTAGTAGTAGTAGTCCCACTGATCATGAAGTGGAAGAGGTTTTGTGCAAATTAATGTAGTTTCTTATTTATTGCTTTTGTAAATCAAATAAAAATGGGCTTTTTATGTAAATAGACTGGGATCCTGTATTATCAGCTACTAAAAATTAGTTTGTAAATTCTTCATTGTAAAGTTTAAAAATATTTTATGTATTTCTAGATATGACTTAAATTTTAGTTTTCATATATTATGAAAGCAGAACTACATATTCAGTTGCTTCAGGCTAAACACATACCCACCATATGTAATTCCAATTATTAATAACAGTATTAATTTAGATAGCTTATTTGTACTGTGCAATTTGAACAAGGAATGCAATGTTATTTTTTATGAAATCTTGTTTATTTTTATAACACAATGTATTTGATGTGGACCAAATTCGTACCACTATGTAAAACAGCCTCTCTTATAGTGCAGATATAGCTTAGAAATAAAATTCAGCCCTCTATTCTACTTTTTAAAGAGATAGGTTTAGTCCTCTTAGGCAACGTTGTTGAAGGAATCTCAAAATTATTTTGAAATTACTTCAGATTTCACCAACTATTTAAAATTATTAAATTTGGTAATTTACTGTTATTTACTTTCTACATTAGAAGTGCAATAATTTTACATAATAAAACTCCTGAATGGGTGAAATATGTGACTATTGTTACCTGGTCCTCCTGGTGCTACTTTATTTAAGTCGTCTCAAACCACCATCTTGTTCTGAATTTTAAAATACAGAATAAAGTTTCCTATATAAGTATATGCAGTACAGAAAAGAAAATAATTAAGCTAACATTTCTTCTGTCCATTCATTCCATTAGGGAGAAGAGCCAGCCTTTCTTTTTTTATTAAGTCAATTTCTAGTGTGACTATCTAGTTAATAAAATCAACTTGCCGTCATAAGCAGCAGTGGTCTTTTCATGTCTTAAAGGCTGCTGCTGAGTTAATCTCACTTTGTGGTGATGGGAGGCCAGATTTAAGATGAGCCTAAGGCCCCTAACCAAGTGCTCCCCCTGTGAGTCATATCCCAGCCCCTACCACACCCCCCCCTTTCCATATTTGAGGCAGATCCTGGCCCAAGCTGTACACCACCTCTAACTTTGCAGCTGCTCCAGGTGCCGGGCTCTCCTGACTGCTACCCTGGAGTCACCCCCGTCTCCACTGCACAGTGGTAAAGCAGGGTCTGCATTTGTCGGTGTTCCTTCTGAGATTCAGGCTGGAAATGACTCCAATAAAATATACAGTGTCTCACTAGTAGAACTAGGAAACAGGGCAAGAAATGTGGTGAGCTTAAGAAAATTATCCTCTGGTGTTTATATACTTTTTTAAAATTTTTGTTTTGCTGTATTGTTTGGTTCAGAACATCAACTGTGTAAGCCATATCTTTAATGAACTTAAATATTCAGCGTAACTATTTTAAAGTTAACATATATGCTTATATTTCTTGCTGACACCAAATTATTTGGGGCTAAAAACCTTTGCTTGTAATTAAGAGTTGTTGCTGCTTCTGTAATATGTATTTCCCCACCTCCTGGTAAAGGGTAATAAAACTATTATATGAGCTTTTGTTTACTTATCTCAGGTTATGTATTAAATGCCACAAAAAGTAATTTTCACTTTACAGTCCCCACCACTTAAGTTCTCCTAAATGAAATTACTAGAAGTTCAGACAAGTATATTTAAAATATATGTAGCTACTGTAAGGATTCGGGCAGTGTGCTAGCCTGTCCCCATCACCTAGCAGAATGCACTCTGGTCAGCTCAGGTGCAAAGGACCCCCTTAAAAGGAAGACACCTCACCACCACCACCCACTTACACTTTCCCTCTCTCTTTCCCGCTGTTCCCCTGGGGCAGACAGGACTTTTCCTGTCTCCCTCTTCTCTGTCCTCTCTGTCTCTTTACCTCTTTCCTTCCCTCTCCCCTTTCTATTAAAATTGCTCACTAAGCTCTGTTTGTCAGGCAGGATCCCCACCCCCACCTTTGGTGACGCTCCCCTGCCTTGGAATCCAAGGTTCCCATATGCATTATCATAACAGATACAGAGTGGGAACATCCCAAGGGCCTGATGACAGAATATTGAACCCTTCGTAACATGGGCATATGTGTTCAAATAGTTAAGAAATGATGCCAGTATGTAAATTGAAAATGATTGATTAGCATGGGAACCATGTCCCTTAAATATTTTATGGATTTCCTTATTCCAGACCTTTCATGAACAGAAACACCTAGTATGTGTTTATTACCTTGGTATTATGTTTTCAAAATTCTTCATGTATTGTATCTATTTTATTTTTTTAAAAGCTGTTGTGTGGATACGTTTACTATCCATTTAAAGGTTACAGTTTTTGACTTTAGATTGTAACACTCTAAACATTTGTTTAGTAATTCTCCCTTACTCTGCTTTGCCTCCAACTGAAATCCAAAGAGTACTAAATATAAAAAATACAGTCATAAAGTTTCTAAATTTTAAATAGTTTTTATTACAGCATACTGTTGTACCTCTTATCTTTTATCATGGATATACATATAGGGAAAACTGATGTATCTGGTTTCAGGAACCCAATGAGGATCTTGGACCACATCCCCATAGGTAAGGAAGATTGGGGGAACCAGGCTTTTCTGTATGGATGTGTTTTGAATTCTATAGAAATGGACTTGCTGGATGATGCAGTGACCATGTCCTTGAGCAAATACCAAGTTCTCTATGCCAGGGTGCCTGAAGTTCCCATTAGCTGTGAATGAAGGCTCCAGCTTCTGCTACCTAAACTTACCATCTTCATCAGTCTTCCAAGATCTGCATGGAAATGATTCGCCATCAGACACTTGGACACCTTTGAAACTGAAAGGTCATTTTTATCTTTGGCTTGCCAGTGATTTTTATGTATTTTTGGATACAAGGCCTTAGCCAAGTTTATGATTAGTATTTTCTCATTCGTTATGATTTCCCTTCCTTGATACTATCTTTTGGAAGAGCTTTTCTTGTTGATAGGAGTCTAATTTATTCTTTTCTTGTTGCTTGTGCTTTTGTGTCAAAGCTGGAAAATTACGATTTAACCCAAGGTTATATTTATGCCTATGCTTTATAAGTTGTAGCTCAAACATTTAGATCCATTTTGAATTAATTTTTGTATATATGAAGAACTCTAACTTTATTCTTTTGCATATGATTACTAAGTTGTCTGAGTACTGTTTGTTTTTCACAGTTCACTGGGGGGAAAGTCTTTTCCACAGCTATAAATGCAGGCTTTTTTCCAGACTCAGTTGTAACGATAGGCATCTATTACAAGTATCTGTTTGTGGTAGCAGCACGCTGGATAATTCCTGTTTTACACAGGAAATTTTGGAAGTACAAGCGCTACATTTGCTTATACATTCAAGGCTATTTGGACTATTCCAGGACTCTTCTGGTTCCATAGGAATTTGGGTGTATGCACACTGGAAAAAATGGTCCTAAAGTGGGACTTGCATAGGAATTTTATGCAATGTGTAAACAAATCTGAAGAATGCAGTCCTTTTTAGTACCATGTATCCCCCTGGGCATGAATGCTATCTTTCATCCTAGGCCTTTGATTTCTTTTAGCAGTATTTTGTAGTTTAACGTCATCTTTGGAATTTTTTTTTTAAACTTTCTATATAGACAGTCATGTCATTTGCAACCAGAGTCTGCATTAAGGATCTGAATGTTTTGTCTCTTCTTGCCAGCTTGCCCTGGCTAGAACCAGAATGACTTTCAAAGTAGGAGTAGCAATGATGGATATCTTGTCTCATTAAGTATGACACTGTGGTATGACAACCTTTACCAGGTGGAGGGGAATCCCTCTTCTGAGATGGTAGAACAGAACATCCTTAGTATTCTGTTAGTGTGGTCCATTTCACTAATCCTTCTTGCTCAGAATAACTGGATTAAATAAATTCTCAATAATTTTTGCAATCAAGTAAAAGTTCAACATAATGAAGCATACATAGGTGTATTATGTCTTTATTGGCCCTAAAAGGAGAAGACCAGAAATGGTTGTTTCCTTTTGTATGGAACTGCTGGGAAGGAATCCCCTCAAAAACTAAGCGCTTTGAGAAATGTCACCAGCCTTTCCTTGGGTGATGAGAATTATTGTGGGTCACAGGCTACAAGGTAATTTCTTTCATTGCTCTTATCCCTAGCCCGTTTTTTTTAAAAAAAAAAAAAAAAAAAAAAAAAAAAAAGATAATCCTTTTGTGATTTCCCCTCACCATGGAGAGGATTTAAGCCCAAATACACCTGTGATTTTACCATTTGCTAAGCAGGGTTATTTTTGTTTCTATGGAATTCAGATGTATCATTTCATTCCAGGTAAAAGAGTCCAAGTGAAGTGAGCATTCCCATCTTGAATTCTTTGCTTACACCACTTATTAAAATAGCAGTCATGCTCAAGCCATGTAGATCTTTTTAAAGATTTTTTTTAATATAAAAAACTAGGGCCATAAAATAGCCTTAAATATGGAAACAGAATAAAATAATTGTAAAGATCCATTTTTTTTCCAACCAGTATGTTAAAAAAAGTTTATTTCAGTAACATTGTAAGGCAACAGTTAACCCTCAACAAGTCAGCAGAACAGTGGAAAAAAGAGATGGGCCAGACACATTCTTCCAGCAGCTTCCTGAATCACATAGACTGCTTGTGGTCCAACCTCCTTCGTGGTAAAACCTTGGGGAATCTTAGACATTTAATTACAGCTGCTAACTGAAAATACTTTGTAGAAGAACCAATTAAATATTACTTTATACTCTTTCCCTATTGTGCTGCTTATATTTACATTCATTTGGGGGGAGTGCATTACTTATACCTTGAAAATATACTTTTAGAAGTTACTCAAGTGGTCCTATAATCTTTAAAAGAGGGGGGTACTGATAACTATGGGATGTAATTATTAAAAGCATGAATACTGTTTGTAATTACTTGACCATTTTTGGCCTTTAAGCATGTCCTAAAACTGAGCATCTTGTTACTGGGTGCATAATATCAAAGTTTCATAATGTTAAAATCAAAACTGTTTGCATAGAGAAATAACCCAAAAGTCAAAAGGAAAAACATGATTATGCCAAAAAGAACAATGGCACCTTGCCAAAAGGAAAGAAATCAGAGAACATCTTGTTTTTATATGCTTCCTAAGCATGATGTTTTGCTTCCCCTCCTCCTGTAATTTCTAGTAATCAATTTCAGATTAAACCAGGAACAGAACATACACCTATATTTTGAAGTTCATTTAGCTATTAGCACTGTTACCTCTTTTTATCAGCTGTGGTTCTATACAGGCTGCAGCTGTTAAGTACCACCTGACAGATAATATACATACAGCAGAGCCAGACACATGAAGCACTGTTAGATACAATTTCTGTAAGTCCCGCAAAACCAGTGTCAACACATGTTAACAGTCAGCACATTACCATCCAGCTCTAGCTGCAGCCCTTCTGTCTGCACAGACCCAGGCAGTTTTCCAGGAGTTAGAGATGAAGCAGGCAACACAAGGAACATGATTAGAAACTGACATACCAAACAAGCAGTTTTCTCCTGCAGTCCGCACTTAACTCTACTCGTACTGAAATTCAGATGGCTCTGAGGGCCACTCTGAGAAAAAGCGTTTCTGTTCCTACCGCCCAAGTATATTTTACTTTGTTTTTGCTTTACTATGTATAGCTTTTCTTTCAACTATATTTTGGGTCATATTTGTTGACTAACTCAAGTTTTGCCTTTTTACATTTGTTAATGTAAAAAAAGAAACTGACATATTTTACTGTTCATCTCATCATCTCTGTCACCGCTGGGACCTAGGGAAGCCACAAGAGGCACAAGCTGCATTCCTACTTCCAAATGAAAAGCACCATTAAACCATATGCTGCTTATACCCAGGATCTGAACACTAACAGATATGGGTGTAGTTATCTCATTCCTGTGTAAGCCACAACCTTAGTGTCAGCACAGCAAGTTCTAAGAACTTATTCACTTGCTACAAAACAGAAAATCAAATGCAGCAATAAAATTATCTCAGAAGAGCCATGCTAGCAACTCGGTGCTCTGGGAAGAAGTTTAAGTCTTACATTGCACAAATAAAGCAACTCATGAACTATGAGAAGGGGATGCAGGTGAAAAGTTCTCTTCCCAAATGATTGGAGCATTTTGAAGGGGGAGCAGACAAAGAATGCTACCTCAGAATAGCGGTCCAGAAGTGGCTTCCAGGGCTGGGAGTCAGACCCAGGGCTCACAAAAGACACTAAAACCCCCTAATGGCTGCCTAAAGAAACAGCTCTTGGGACTTCCTTCTTCATGGCAGTCACTTTGCAATACTGCAATTACACGTGAGAAGAGCCACTATCCCTCTGAATGGTATTTTACCCACCATCCACTGATAACCTACTTCATTAACAGTAGTCTAACTGTACATCTTTCTTGATCCTCAAAGGAAAGCTACTGAAGTGGTATGTTGCTGAATCCTTACAGTCATACAACTGACATGTATAAATGGCAGTATCCACATGTGCTTACGTGCCTGAAAACTGGAATTTTCAAGTGACAAAAAGGCCAGGCATCACTATCCCAAAGTTTAACCCATATGGTACTTGACCCTGAAGAATATTAATCCAAAAGCTCTTTGAACATATGCTCACTAAAACTCATTGACTTGTGTTACAAATATCCATATGACATGGGAGAGAAACTGTCCCATGGAATGTCCAAGGGGCATTTACATGCCCCCAAGCCCATCCACACAATTAAAACACAAAGAGACTGTAAGTGCAAACCCACGCAGAGGGAAATGTCCAATCCGGGAACTTCTCTTTCAGAGTATCAAGCTCAGGAGATCTCTTGTCTTCCCCTGATAGATAGTGTGCAGCAATGGCCACCGTGACCATTCCTTCTGGCTGTTCTTCTGACACCTGCTAGAGAAAACCAGTTAGATCTCTGAAGCCAGAACACTGAACTCCAAGTACTATCTGGGAGCCTGGGAAATTCCCACCTGTACTTCTATCCAGAACTGCCATGCAGAGGCCTGGAGTCCATGAGAATAAAACACAAAGTAGTCCCCTCCTCTGCTTGTGACTGGAATGCCATTGCCAAGAGACCACTGAGAAAGTGTTGATCCTTTGTGGGTTCGAACATAGAAAGACATGTGGCTTGGTCCTGGAAGAGGAACATTTCCATCAGTCAGGAGTGACAAGCAATACAGTTAATGCCCAAACCAAACCATACTGTCCTGGTTCATCTGTGTTGTGACTATAGGTAGGCTCTCCACAGGCAGGAGGGTTACCACCTTGGATATTTAATATCTAGCAGTAAGGATAAGAGAACAGAAAAGGCAGAGAATGTAAATGAGAAAAGTAACTGCTAATGGAATTTACCTAATCCCCCACCCCCGAGATTGCAGGAAGAGTTGTAAAGTAATCTGCCTGTGGCTAGTTCCTTAAGGCTCTCAGTGTTTGGACTAGGGTAACTGATCAACCTGACTCAAATCCACTATTTACATGGTATCAGAAAAGTCTGGGATAATTTAGCCAAATCCCAAGGTACACAAAGTTAATCACATTTCCACAAAGGACAATTCATCATAAATGGAAATAATCCTGATTTGCTTATTGAAGAATAACTTGGGATGCCTCTGAGGCTTTATACCAAAGACCTAAAATGTTATGCCAAGAAGTCTAGAGTCATTCTGCAAGCAGCAGAACTACTTAAGGAGGAAAGTGACAATCAAATGTAGATCAGCTGGTGGCACTGTGAGGGAAATCCTAGAAGGCTAAACATGGAAAAAGGAAGAGTCAAGGCTCAGTGTGTATCTGTTTGACAATGACCAATACTACATTTTCAGTAAGGCTTCTTAAGTCATAACCAGGCTGGGCAATAGCAGTACACACCTTTAGTCCAGCACTCTGGAGGCAGGCAGATCTCTGAGTTTGGCGGCTAGCCTGTACAGAGCCAAGGTTACACATAAGAAACCCTGTCTCCCCCCTCACCAAAAAAAAAAAAAAAAAAAACCTGCAAAACTCAAAATCACCAAGTGGCACACTCCAGCAGTCCCTCAAGATGCCGAGGCAAGGAGACCATGAGTTTGAATTTGAAGATGGCTTGTCCGAAAAGTAAATAAATGAGCCTAAGGAGATAAGCTCTAATCACCCTAAGCGAAGCAGCAGTGTCCTAGGACCTAACTGTTGTTTTTGAGGCCAATGTCATGTGCTCCAAGGGAGTAAACTTACTGTGCCTTCAGCAACCATTAAAATAAGTTTGATTTGGGGCTGGAGAGATAGATGTTCAGCTGTTAAGAGCATTTGCTGCTCACTATGCTACCTGGCTAGCCTGGAGTTCCATATATAGACCAAGTTGGCCTTGAACACAAAGAGATCTGCTTACGCCCAGCCTGATTTTAATTGGCCTTTGACTATTTGAATAATGACACTGAGAGAAAAAGGGTTAAAAGTTTTAGCGAAATAGTTGGTCAAGTGTGGTGATACACCTGTAACCCCAGCACTGGTAAATCAGACGCAGAGAGAATCATAAGCTGAGGCAAGACTTGAGCTACAGAGCAAGACCCTGTCTCAAGCAAACCAAAGGCATACCCACAAAGCAGTACAGTGTTGTTTGAAAGTGACACTGGATTAGCTGTAGATATGCATTTCAAACTCTAGGGCAATCACTAAAAATAAAAAACAGGATTTCTCTGTGTAGCTTTCCAAGAACTCACTATGTAGACCTTGAATTCACAGAGATCTGCCTGCTTCCTGGGTGCTGGGATTAACAGCATGTACCACCACTGCCCAGCACAAAATTTCAAAACAAAAAACAAAACCTATAAAATGAAGTAGTTAATACCTCAGTGAAAACTACATTGAGGCATTAAAAAGGATGGGAGATAAAAAGATACAAAGGCAAAACTATTAACCCATTTAAACTGGGTCATAAAACAAGACCCAACAAAGTACTATCTATACGAAATTTTTAAGATAAATACACATAGATGAAAAGTAAATGGAAGGTGCTAGAGATGTAGCTTGGTGATGGAACATTTACCTAATATGTATACAGCAGAAAAATACACAATTTTTAATTAGCAATAATCAAAAGAAAGCTTTGGAAAGCTACACAGTTGACTCATGCAAGGGAAATGTTCACTGGTGAAAAGGCAATTATATAAGGTCAAAAAGTAGTGTATAAGAAGATAAAACAGTACTTAAAATGCATTCACCTAACAGCAAAGCCTGAATACAAGTAACACAAAAACTCATCACTGAATCTGGACCCACAGGGCAGTCAAAGAATGTCCCTCCAACATTAGCAACTCACAAGGAGCATTACCCAAGCCACTGCATCCTCAGCATGCACTATACCATCACATATTTGGAATATAAATCAAACAATGATTTCTTGGCTCAAAATGAAATTAAACAAGAAGTTGATGTCAGAAAAGAGGCTAGATTATTTGGAAACTAAAGAGTGCATTTCTGATAACAAATGGGTCAATACAAAAGACTCAAGAAGTAAGTGTCAAGAGAAAGGGTTGTGTTTTAGTTTTTTGAACTAAACACTAAATTACAACAACTTAAAATCTGTGGGGTCTAGAGCCAATTTCATAAACTATGGTCCACAGCACCTTACAGGCTGTATAACTCAATGTGGGGGTGGAGAATTAGCAATAGTAAAAGGTTTCTGAATATACAGCAACCACAACAATCAAACACTGTGATAGTCTGAGAGAGAAAACACTGTGGTAATCTGACTGAGAATGCCCCCCCCATGGGCTTGTATAGTTGAATGCTTGGTCCCCAGTTGGTACAACTGTTTGGCAAGAACTAGGAAGTGTGTCACTGGGGGCAGGCTCTGAGGTTTCAGAACCCCACACCATCCCTACTTACCACTCTCTCTGCTTTTGCTCATAGACCAAAATATAAGCTCTCAGCTACTACTCCGGCACCATGCCTGCCACCTTGTTCCACATCATGATGGCCATGGACTCTGACCCTCTAGAACTGTGAGCCCCAAACTAAATGTTTCATTTTACAGCCTGTCTTAGAAACAGCAACAGAAAAGTAATTAAGACAAACATATAATGAATCCAATGATGCACTCCATGACTTACACACAGCCTTGGATCTGAACACACGACATGAATACTTTGTACTGTGTATGCAATGCCACCAAATGCTGCCTGAAACACTAGCTCAGATTTAATATTCATTAGGTTATGAGTTAGTGTTTATACTGTCTGTACAAGATTTTCTTCTCTTGCATAAATGTAATGGTCATATAGTCATACATTTATAATATTTAACCTCTATAAGCATATAAATATCAAATCTGACTGTCTTTGGACTGGAATGTGTTAAGACTTTAATTTTTAGACTTGCTGTTTGAGTTCCTGACAACTTTCATAAAGACTTGTTAAATGAATTTTGTATTGGGATTAGTACAAAATTTTACAATTTCTGCAATGGCCCTAACCACTTCTGCCATTTGTACTGCATACTTATTGGAGTGGCACTCTCAGCACTGACGATTATAAAGTCAAAATACTGATCAACTTTTGGAAGTACAGAAGATGCTCTAAATCTTCCAACAGCAAGTACTCTAGATGTAACTCTTCATGTAAAAATTAAATGAAGTCATCCATCTCCTTAGTGTGCACATTTGTTTTTGTTGTTAGTTACTGGTAAAATTATATGTACACCAAAGAACTTTGAAAATAAATTTCTCTAATTTATTAGCAGTAAATGATTGATTTGTATATCTACTTTGTAGCCCCAGAGCCAAATAAAAATTTCTCAGGTGTAAAAAGTTGGCAGGTATAAAAATTTTAAGAAACCTCACCGTAGGGCATAAGCAATATTGAAAAGAAAATTTATAGCACTGAATGCATATAGTAGGGATAACAATCTAAAGAACATAAGTTAAGCTTCCACCTTAGACAAGAAAAAGAAGAGTGAATTAAATAAAAAAAAGTAGTAGAAAAGTAGTCTAGACAAGAAAATTGATAAACTTTAAAGTGTAGTTTTACTCATTTTTTTAATCCTAAAACTATTCTAAGCAATAAAGCATATTAGATTTTCTTGTAGAAGTTTCAGCTACTATTAGAAATACTATAAGGTACAAGTTGTGATAGTACATGGTTCCAGCACTCAAGAGGCTAAGGCAGGAAGATCATGATCTCTACATGAGTCTCAGAAGATGGATGGATGGATGGATGGATGTTGCTCTGATATATAGTGGATGGGAAGACATATATATTGCAACTTACTGAAAAACTAAGCAAATGAGATGGGAAGAAAACTGGCTCACCTGTTGCTTCAAAGGTCAACTTTATAGAACCCCATGGTGTCTTGTCTTTGGAGATAAGTCTGAAATGAGCAGGATTTCTTGGAGAAATTTCTGGGGCCGGAAGATACCAATTTTTCCTATTGTAAAGATAGTGTTAATATTTAGGATGCCTTCTTAACTGACAATAAGTAAAATGTAACTCACAGAAGAGTTCAGAATACACAGAGTATGAAAACATCTAATATGGTAAATGATGCCAGCTCCTCTGATGCCCACGCTGTGTAACAAATCCTCCTTAACTTTAAGATCAAAGGAATTAAGGGCTGGAGAGATGGCTAAACAGTCAAAAGCTGGGCTGCTTTTACAGAGCACCCAGGTTCAGTTCCCAGCACCCACATGACAGCTGACAACAACCTGTAACTCCAGAGTCAGAGATTCAACACTCTCTTCAAAGGTATAAGGTGCACACACTATGCACATAAATGCAGGGAAAGCATACATACATATAAAGTGTATCCTTTTAAAAGAACAGGAATTACCTAGGCAATTCCAATCCTATTTCCTCAGATGCAATTCTGAGATGCCAACTCTAAGAGCATCTCAAGCTGGTATGAAGCTGTAACTATTGCTTGTATTATGTTAGGAAGGTAGCCCTTTCTAATTACTACTCAGGTTTCTTGAAGAGAGACTTCTTAAAACTATTCTCCTGAGTTTGTTATCTAAAGAAGTGGACATTTTGTAGTCATATTATAAACAAGCATTTGTAAAGTATTATAAACAACATTTGACCAAGTTAAGGATAAGTTTCAATTAATAAGAATAACCCCCAACTTAAGCAAAAAGTAATGACCAACCTGATCAGAAAGTGTACTGGAAGATACCAAGGGAAGCCACAGAGTGGGGCATTCTCCTCACAGTGAGCTCGGATTGTGTCATTGATCTCAGGAATGTGAGGTGTTATGTGAGACATTCCAGTGTAATCAAACCCATTGATCCATATTCCAGAGTCTCTTTTTACTACGTTTCCTTCCAAGTTATGGAAAGTTCTACTCATATGCTAAAAAGAACAGACTAGTAAGTAAGGAAACTTCTTCAGCTACTATACACACATTTGTACCCCAGTTCAGAACTGATTAGAAACAGGAAACAAAAAGGAAACTTAATAATTACTAAGTTACTGTTAGTGGGATTTTTCTTTTTAAACTAGATGACAGATACGTAAATGACTGTTTTATTGCAAATTACAAATATAGCTGAAGTATATTTAAATTATACATAAAACTTAGCTGGGCACTGGTAGTATACACATTTAATCCCAGGACTTGGGAGGCAGAGGGCAGGTGGATCTCTGAGTTCAAAGCCAGCCTTATCTACAAAGCGAGTTCCAGAAAAGCCAGAGCTGTTACACAGAGAATCTCTGTGTGTGTTGGGGGTGGGGGAATACATATTAAATTGATCAGGGACATTGTATATGCAGTAGTCTCAATTGCTCAGAAGGCTGAAGTGGAGGGTCTTCTGAGCCCAGGAATTGAAGGAAGTCTAGGTAATACTGTAAGAGTCTGTCTCAGAAAACAAAATGGGCTGGTGAGATAGCTTAGTGGTTAAAGCATGTACTGCTCTTCCAGAGGACCCTGGTCGAATTCTGAGCACCCACATCAGGTGGCTCATAAAAACCTGTAACTCCAGCTCCAGGATCGACACCTCTGGCTTCCGAGGGCACCTACACTCAGATACACATACCCACACAGACACATGTATATACATAACTTTAAAATGTCTTTCTTAAAAACCCAAATGACCAAAAAAAAGAAAAAGAAAAAGAAAGAAAGAAATTCTACTCAAATTTAAGTTATAATTTCTTTCAGAAGATTTATAATGGAAAGCACATGTGTATGACCACACTCATTTCCTTCTCAGTGCATCACATGCAGTTAATCCATCCACAGAGAAAGACAGGTATGGCAGCAGACAACATATCGGTCTTAATGCCCAAAGGGCTTACAGTGTATTTAATAGCACTCAGCAGCAGAGAACAGCCCGGAGGCAGGGAACAGCACAGACAGGGTTGTCATGGCATGGGTCATGGCAGAGGGAGCACATGTTGGAACTCAGGGCTATTAGCTTTTTGGGTAGAATACAGCTGCTTTCCTCTATAAAAGCAGATTATCAGTAATAGAAACTTGCACATCTGGCAGGGCCTAAAATAGTTATTATTTTGCCCATCAGGGGCGAAAAGAACTCAAAACAAGTCACAGTCCTTTTAAAACTAAAAATATAACTTTTCCTAAATCCTACTGCCAGAGTTGGAACAATTGCCACTCCACTGAAGACCATGATGGACTGCCTTAAAAACTGTTCTTCACCAAAGGTTTCCTACAAAACAGACCCCTGTCCTAAAGACTACCACCAAGGACTACTTGGCTTCCTTTTCGAAATCTCTCAGATTATAGAATTTTTTCCGTCCTTGAATAATTATCTAAATCATGACTCAGTTGGCACTGTGTGACCATGCTAAAACCTTTAACAAAACTGAAAATGAGCATCTGGCTATTTGGTACCACTTCTAAGAGGTTTTATAAAAAGACCTGAAATCCAAAGAAAGTCCTAAACTTCATTTTAATAACCCTTTTATAGGTTATATTCATCACATATTACTCTGAATGTTACTAAGGCTCAATTTTACTAGCAATTTTTAATTTATATTTTATATTGTTAGTAATAGTTTAAGACTTTTGGTCAGCCTACAGATATTTATGCAATTTGTATTTTCAAATGTTCATGATTTCCATGATTATATATGTGCATCTATTATACACACACACACACATATATACATCATGGAAAGTGTGTCTAGCTAATAAGAATGTGCACTGATGGTCAGTGTCCCTTGTTGTTTTATACACAAAGAAATATAGACCAACTAAATTATGTCAACAGCTGAAAAGTCAGTTTTCCTGTTCACCAGTAGAGCTCAAAGTACACACAGTGATGTCATCCTCTGACTCTCACTGCTTATGAAGAACTGCCCTTACCTGAAGGAACACTCTCTTTGGCTTTGGACTCACAGGGTTGGAGCTATATGGGAAAAAGGCTCCACAGCAGACGAGGAGCAGTGTGGCCACACACACCAGGGTTAGGGTCAGCATGGTTTTCTTTGTGCTTTTCACAAGGTAGATGAATATAATCTAAACACAAACACAGAAAAATTATTAATCCATACCTCTGGTAGACAGGTATTTTAAATGATGTTTTTTAGTGGGTATTGTCACTAGAAGCCTGGGTAATGTACTGTGACACAGTAAACAAAGCAGTAATTCCTCAGGTATCCGTCAGAGCCTAGAAAATGACAGGTGCCTTCAGCTGGCCAGGACGGAACTTTGGGACAGTGGGCGGGAAACCAACAGGGAGGATGGAAACAAGACTCAATGACCCTGTGCTCAAGCATCAAAAGAAAAAGGGCCAGAATCCATTTGCAGTCAAGTCAAGCCACTGCCTTCTGTGACTCACTGGCTAATAATGGCCAACCCTGCACAGCAGACTACCACTGAACTGAACCCAAACATGGCATCAAAGCTGCCAAACTGTCAAAAGGTAAGTTTTTATGACTAAATGTGTTTCAATAAAAGTTAGATTCTACCTTTAGTGTTTATTACATGCTAATAAGAGTTGGAGTCATACTTACTAGTTTTTAGATGGATCTTCTAAAAGTTCCATTTGAAGAAAAACTAACTATGAAACAGTACTGTACTTTTAAGTTAACCATTATGACTACTAAACAATGAATCTGAACTTGGGACAGTAAACATGAATCCCTCAGTTGCAAGGTTGGCATCCAAAAGATATACTTAGCTTTTTATCGTAGCCAAATCAGCAAATTGAAAGAAGGGTGCACACAAAATACATTTCAGTCCCCTCAGGTCTGAGAAACTATCTAAAACTAGCTCCTTTTGTTTCTTTATCTTCCTGCCCACACCTTAAACTCACGAAGAACATGAATACAAAGATATTTCCATTGAGGAGAACAAAAAATATATATATCAAAGTTATGCAAAGTTAAAGGCTCCACATACCAAGTATTCCCATGTCCTTTTTGGGGCAATTTCAACCAAACAGTGCTATTCTTGGGTGGGAGGCCTTACTCTTGTTTAATACGTTAGGAAATAATCACCCCAGACAACAAAACAACTGTAACCTATTTGTTCCTCTACCACACAGTCAGAATGCCCAACATGCTTCAAATGTCCCAAGTAATGAGCTTCCCCTCTACTGGAAGCCTGGTAAATTTGAACATACAGATACTGTTCAGATCAAGTTGGATGAAGGAATGGAATTGGAGAGAAATTAATATATTTTAGTTACATCTATATATGTATTTTATTTTTTTAATGCTACTGCCAAAGCTACCCTAAAATCCGACTTGAAGCTACCACTTCCTATTGAAGTTCTGTCTTCTCCAAATTTTAAGACTCATCTTCTAGAAGGTTGTAAATGAATGGGCTCAAAGAATGAAGATAATGAAGGAGCGGCCATAAAGAGACAGTATGCTTGGATTCCACAGTTGAGTACCTTTACAGTTGTATTGCCTTAAATGTTGTACCTTATGTCACTTTTAAATTCTTAAGGGAATACAGAATCAAATGAAGCTAAGTGTGGTAGCACAGTCCTGTAATCCCAGCACTTGGTAAGTGGAGGCAGAAGGACCATGAGTTCAAGGTCATCTTCAGAAAGTTTAAGGCTAGCCTGGGGCATGAGACCTTGTGTCAAAACACCAGAATTAATGAGTAGTGGATCTGGGAAGATAGCTCAGTAGGTAAGAGCACTCACTATGCATACATAAGGACTTGAGTTTTAATCCCCTGCACCCATGTAAAAAGTCAGGCATGACTACCCATGCCTCAGCACTGGGGGAGCAGAGACAGGCAGATCCTGGGAACTCACAGGTTGGCCAGCCTCGCCGAAAAGCAAGCTTCCAGTTCAGTGAGTTATTCCCTTTAGGACATAAGGCAGGGCCTGGTAGGGGAAGGTACCTGATGCCATTCTGTGCCCCTCAAAATGCCATTTACCCACATATGTGTATACAACACACATGAAAGAAAAAAAAAAGGCACATCTAAAGGACCCCAGTGTAACCTGTATGAACTATGACAGGGCTCTGACCCCATGTTTATCATCAAATCTATTTCAGCTCTCAGACAATCGATACAACCATGGTACCCAACAAACAATAACTCTAGGAAATATGGTAACTTATTACTTAACAAAAATGTAATTGTTTTCCAAAACATGTATTTTTAAAAGCCTCAATGACAATGACTAAGAAGCTTCCCTGAAGTAAAAATTATGGTTCAGTGCTCTGCTACCCAAGGAACAACCTCATTCAATCAGGAAGCCACTGTCTTCAACACTGTGACACATAAATGACAAAACAAAGAGAAAGATGACTTACAACAACTAAAAGTAACAGCAGCATTCTCACATAGTAATGAAAGGAAATAAGGTTTTTGTTTTAGGGGAAGAATGGTGGTTTTAAGACAGGTTCTTACTACATAGACTTATCCTAACCTAACCTGTAACTCAGATGTAGACCAGCCTGGCCTTGGACTCAGGTACATTCATTCCAACAATTTTTTTTTTTTTTTAAATATTCCAAGAGGTATTTTCTTAAAAACAAATAACAAAGCCTTCCTAATAATACTTTTTGGTAATCCTGGTAACCCTTTAATCTCATTCCTCTGGCTTCCAAGAAAGCCATGACTGGGGGACTTTCCTAATCTCGTTTCACAGGTTCCTTATGATCATGAGATAGGATTCAAATGTCCTACACCTGAATCACCTTTGTAGGCACCAGAAGTTTCAACCATCTAGGACAGTGGTTCTCAACCTGAGGGTTGAACAACCTGTTCACAAGGGTCACCTTAGACCATCAGAAAACACAGGTATTTGTATTATGATTCATAACAGTAGCAAAATTACAGTTGTGAAGCAGCAACGAAAATAACTTTATGGTTATGAGGAACTGTATTAAAGGGTCACAGCATTAGGAAGGCTGAGAACCGCTGCTCTATAGTGTAAGTACAATGAAAACCTGATTCATAATTCATAGCTACCCTTTAGACCAGATTCCCATTTACAAAGGACAGAACTCTACTTTCTCCTTTATGGTTGCATTTTGTTTTTTAGGACAGGATCTCAATATGTAGTCAAGGTTGGCTTCAAAATCATCATCTTCATGCCTCAGCCTCCCAAGTGCTGGGACTACCATTATGTGTCGCCATGCCCAGGCCTCTAGCTTCTGTAATCCTCACAACAGAAGATCTACGGTTTGAATGGGAAATGTTTCCTTCAAGTTTATGTGAACACTTAGCCCCTAGCTGGGAGGTGCTATTTGGGGAAACAATTAAACAGGCAAGGTCTAAGTGGAGAAAACAGGTCTCTGGTCTGTTGCCTCTGGCTTCTTGTCACAATCTCATCTAGACCTCCCACAGGTTTCTACCACCAGGGGACCTCTGCCTTCCTCACCATGAACAGTGCCTTTAGGAACCATGAGCCAGAATAATTTTTTCCTTTCTTAAGTTATTTTTACCAGGTATTTTCCACACTGATAAGAAAAGCAAGAACACTTAACAAATACAGAAATACAGGGTTAAAGGGTTAATAATAAAACTAGAAGTAAACAACAAACGTTAGGATTCCATCCACCTCTGTAAATGCCAGTAAGAGTTAACCATTACCCTGTAGGTTGTGTTGTTTGTTGGGAGGAGGGATCATTTTCTGTGTTGGGGAACTGAACCCAGGACCTCATGCATGAGGCAGGCACTCATCAGTGAGCTACTGCCTCAGCCTTTCATCTGTATCTCAAAGGCAAGCAGTTAAGAGGTCAGGTTTCTTTTAGTACTAGTATAGCTAATAGCAAGCAGTGTGCATAAGAATGACTCTAATAAATGCAGAGCTTTCCTGGTAGCTGGGGAAATTCCGCAGATGGTGTTGACTATGACTGTGGCAGCCCCTTGCCTCGTGAGGTCTTCAGAACCTAATTTACAGGGAACTCCCTTCACTGCAGGTACAAAAAACTCACCATCGTCCATGAACAACTAAGCAGTCATGAACTGCAGTCCCTGTCTCCACTTGGTTCCCTAGAACAGAACATCTCACAATCCACACTTGGTATATATCCCACGCATCCATATCTATTAGCGTATATATGGAAGGGGCTCTCGAGCTTGCTCGCTTACTCTTTCTCACATATTGATATATATATATCAATCATTAAAACAGTAACAATAACCTCACCATGCAGCCCTGGCTGGGGCTCATGACCCTCTCATTTCTCCTTGAGTGATGACTAAAGTGTGCATCACCGTGTTCTCTGTCTTCTTGGCACACTGAACCCACAGTGTCCACACACTAACCCTATCTTTTGTTTAATTTTTTCTTAATAAAGTATAAGCAACATAAATCCACAGAATCCAGTACAGCTAAAGTCATCACATATATAAAAAAATAAAAGCAAACAAAACCCATTTTTTCTTACAAAATAGGAGGAGAGAATCATCACACAGACAGCCAAAATGGAGGCTAGCACAACATCAGGAGGGATTTCGGAACCACTTCTTCCAAGGATAGGAGTAAACATTTCAAATACAGCCCAGATGAGATACAGTCCATAAAGATATGGGATAGACATCCCCAAAAGGTAAAGAGCAGTAAACCTTCCTTGGGCACCTAGGGAAAAAGGAAGAAACAAGCCTGTAAGAGACCATGACAAGCTGCAGGGCTCCTTTTCACAGTGCTGGCCTGCTCTAGCACCTGGCAGAAACTGAGTCAGATGTCACTCGAGTCCCTTTGGTACATGTGATCTAGTACAATTAGGCATTTTCATCAGGGATGATAAAATACAAATAATATTAAAGTAATATAGTAGCATATGTTCAGAAACATGAGAATGGGATGGGGCATAAAGTATAAGATAAATATTTGTATGACATAAAGAATAAAATATTTTAGAAAGCCAATTGATTAAATACACAAATAATCCCTAGGAGACTTGCATTTTTAATACAGTTTCCATTTTTATAAAAAAACAAAAATGACCCTACCATGCTTCTTGAAGTCGTTGTACACGCAAAGCTTTGTGAGTAACGGAAATGCTACCCAGATAGCACTTATGAATGCAGAGCAAAATCCTTGGTAAGTGAGAACAACAAGAAAGCCACAATGCACAAACAACGCCGTGTCAAAAAACACCTCTCCCAGGTACTGGTTGCTGACATTCTGAAAGAAAGAAATGTAGTCTTGTTCATAGTCATTTACAACGTTTTTAATTACAATTTCTTCAAGGCCAAATGCATATTTCCAGCATGGGCAACCCTTCAAACAGATGAAGGAAAGACTCACATGGCTACTCCTGACTGCAGCTGCTACACAGGACAAGACAGAGAAGGCAGGAGCAACACTGTTGTTTCTATCATAAGGATTGGAAACGTAATAGAAAGATTCCTAAAAACATCCACCCCATATTCCTTTTCTGTTTCTGCAGCTTCCAAACACTGTTACAAGCAATCTAGTGGTTCATGAAGGACATTACCAGCTGCTACAGCATCACAAAGCACGTATCAGAGCACCCACCCTTCACAGCGATGCTCATGGTGGATGTGTGACTTCATTTTCCTGTCTCTCCTATGCTACATCATCCATCATCTTTGCCACTTGGACACCTTTTTCTTCTCTTGATACTTTCTTATACTTTGAAGTTCCTTTTAAAGAAAGACATGGAGTCCAAGGGCATCGTATACTATTTGGGAAGAAAGCTGCCTACGGAACTTCAAATATAACATGTGCCCAAGTGATTCCAAAAGTGTAAACCTCAAATTATAATCACAATGCATAGATACCAAAGAGAGAATGGCTGGGCTTTAAGCTTCTTTCTCTCATTCTCATTTCTGTTAAGGGACCACACTTTAAAGTTCACTGGCAAACAGTTTGGGGTAGTTAAATATTTAGATGCCCAACCTAGTGTTAAGAGGCATGGTCTTAAAAGAAAATAATTCTCCGACCTCAACCTGAAGGCTAGATGGGTGATGCACACCGGTGGTCCCAGCACTCCTGAGGCTGAGTCAGACACCCTGCAGTTTGAAGCTGGGCTGGGCTACAGAACAAGATTCTTACCCAATCTGGGACACAGTGAGGCTCTGCCTCAAAATACTCAAAATAATAATAGCAGCAGTAATTCAGTCTGAAACTAAATGCACTCAAAGAGCTCAGTAAGGAACACTGAAACTTGCTATGTAGATACAGTGAGAGTTAGGGCCAGCCTGAGGAAACTTAGTGAGACCCTGTCTCAAAAGTAAAAGCAAAAAAGAGGGAGATAAGAAAAGTGCTTAGTATACAAGGATATTCAAATGTGAGTATGAATCCTTTAACTGCAGAAACCAGCAAAGTAAAAAGGGACCATTGCTAGGATGTGTGGGGTGAGGGTGGAGGAACAACAGAAGGGGGAATATCAGGGCACAAGTAATCTGATCAGGGAAAGGGGGTACTCTAGTTAGGGATGGGGAGGGAGATAAACACAGAAGGAGGTGGGAGGGGCTAAAACAACTAAAGATGTCTGAAAAAGTATTACAGACTCATACTATGATGTGTATAAATATACATATATAGTTTAAGTGAAATTTTCTCATATAGGCTGGTAATGCTCCCTCCAAGAGCCAAAAGGCCATCTAACAAAACCCTAACACCAGGCTTAAGAAGCCCTCTTTTAAGTTTTTGGTCAGAGTTGCCCAAGAGAGTCCCAAAACATTACAGGCTATTGTTATTGTCCTTGGTTGCCCCTAACAGGTGGAGGTGAGTCCTTATTGCTCAGATACCGTGTGCAGACACAGGAGGCCTATAAGCTAGAACTGACAACATGCAAGCTTCCACAGGAGGGAAGCAACCTACCCAGCTGTGAAGCCTATAAACCATAATGACCAGCATGGCAAGAAAACCCTATGGGTGCAATAGTGACTGACACATTATCTTGGTGGTTGGACTTAAGACCTACTCGGAGGGAAATCATGCCTGGTACTGAAAACCTGGTACTAGAAACCTGGCCAAATACCCAGGACTTTTTAATCCCTAACCATATTCTACATGCCCTCAGACCCACAGATAAGTGTGGTCCTCACCCTGCATTAAGGAAACTCTGCAACAGATAGAGAGCATTACAGAAAACCACAGCCAATCAAAATGCAGAATTGTGGAGCCCGGTCCCAGTGACTACATCTACAAACAACTCTAGAACCTTAGGCTCGGGGAACACTGCAGAAGTGGAAGTACAAAGATTGCAAGAGCCAGAAGATCAGGGAGTTTGCTATGAGACTTTGTCCCCTAGTAATATCAGAAGCTACATCCATAGTCTCACCAACATGACTGTCTAAATGAGCTGCACAAGGCCTTGGCCCTACACAAAGACAGACAGGCAACTAAGGAATGCTGAGTGGAAGAAAAATAATCTTTTAGGGATTGGTTATCCAATACCAAATGGCCAACTCTAAAAACATACATGATTAACAGTATATAGACTTAAAGAGGTTATATTTGTGAACATATACATATATTTATACATACATGTATATAACAAGTACTGAAAATAGAGGCCATGATTTTGAAAGAGAGCAGGAAGGGGTATATGGGAGGGATTAGAAGGTGAAAGAGAAAGAGGGAAATGACACAATCTTAAAAACAAAAGAAAGAGTGATGGGAAAACCAATGAGAACATTTTAAATGCACTATTCTTTTAGGAAAGAAGACAAGTTGTGTCAGACATTGCTTGAGAGAGAGTCCAGCAATGCCACCATCATCAGTCTTACAGTCCAGAAGAGCAGTGACAGTCACACATTCCCAGAATAAGCTAACTCCACGAAATTAACACTATGACAGCCATGCCAACAATGTCTAATGCCTCTGAAAGACCATACATAATAAATTTCACTTGTTTGTCTTCAATTCTTGAAAGCAGCAAAAAGAAAATAACAAAACACCTCAGCCACTTACCACATAATAAAATCTTTTTGCAAGGGTATGTATGAGTATTATTTTAGCCACTGTTGCAGTCCCATACAGGCAAACAGCAACATAAAAGTGGTTGTACCATGAGAGAGACTGTCCAATGAGAGAGACGAACACTGCTATAATAAGAACTGTAACAAGGCTCGTGAACCAGCTAATGAAAGTAATGGCAAGTCCGCATAAGAAGTCTCTTGTGTAGTCAACATCTAATAGAGAAGAATACAAAAAGTTAATGTCACCATCTTCATCAAATCAACTATAACACCAGTAAAGCTAAAGAGGCAAATTTTAAAACAAAAAAAAAAAAAAAAATCACTACTGTAATTGCAGTATAGTGTAGAGAACTGAATGGGATAAGAATAAAGGATGATATTCAAGGAACACAGTGAAATTCCCATAATAGTAAAAGCTCTTAAGAGATGTCTCACAGGAACAATTCAGATACACTCCTTACTAGGCAAAGTGGCAGTAATCGTCATCATTTTTGGGATGCTTTGTTTAAGCATTAGCAAGGATTTTTAAAAAGCAAAGTTCCATATAAACTCTTGCTAAAAGGCAATAGAAGAGAGCTGGTAAGATGGTTCCACAGGAAAGTACACTTACCATACAAGCCTGTAGTGTTATTTTGTTTGTGATCTGAAGATCAAAGTGTAGAATTAGCTATACTAGTTAGCCATAGACCCTAGGCAGTAATCTCAGCACTCGGGAAGCACAGGCATACGGATCTCTGTGAGTTCAAGATCACCCTGAGTTATACAGGATTGATCCAGTCTAAAAAAAACAGCCAACAGTGGTGGCTCACACCTTTAATCTCAGTACTTGGGAGTCACATGTTTTAATCCCAGCACTAGGGAGTTGAAGACCAGAGTGATATGGCTGGGAGGAAAGAGGAGCTCATGGCATTCGATCTTAGACTTCCTAGAAACAGGGTCACCCATTTGGTTTGAGGATTCAGTAGAGACTAGAGGTCTCTCTTGTGTCTGGCTCCTTTACTTCTCTGATCTTTCAGCATATACCCAACTCTGGGTTTTTATTATTAAGACCTGTTAGAACTCATGTTACAGAAGCTTAACAGCCTGAGTTCAATCCCCAGGCCCCACAGAACTGAAGCCCACAAGTTGTCTACTGACTTCACAGATATGCACCATGGCATATGGTGCATGGTAGTATTACCAGCCCCACACATACGCGCACGCACACGCACGCGCACACACACAAGAATAAATGAATAAATAAGTGTAAAAATGTTTTAAAAGATGTTAACATTGGAAAACAATGACAGGGAAAATAACTGGTGGTAAAGAATTATTTAAATTGCTGCTAAATACTTATCTTGAATAACATACAACAATTTAGCTTCTGAAACATTTCAAGCAGAAATGACCTGGGTAGAAGGGAACAATTTAACCAGAAGCACTGCATCCATCTTCTGCACTGTGCTGATGGCCTATAGTGAAGAAGACTTAATGGAGCTTGTCACTAACAGTAATCCACAGGGCCAGCAGGCAGCTCAGCAGGCCACCCAGGACCACATGGTGGAAGGATATTCCCACAAGCTGTCCTCTTGACTTCCACACACACACACACACACAAAAAAAAAAAAAAATACAAATATTTTTAAAACATAAAAAGTCAACTTCTATAAACCTTTTGTTTTTCTTTTTGGTTGTATATAAAGTTAACTTTTAACGCAAGTTATAAAGTTGAATATTACTGAATTTCAAGACATATTAAAATTTGCTATTAAAAAGTAGGGAAACCTAACAGTTTCTTTTCTTTTCTTTTGAAGAAGTACACATGAAAGCACCTCTCTTTACATCGTTTACAATACTAAGGGTCTATTTCAGACAGCAGGCAGCTCCAGGAGCACACAGTGCAGCTTCCCACAGATCCCCGCAGGGCACAGGGCATTGCACTGCACAACAGCTCTTTGGCATTATGAGGCTCTGCCTTCCATTAGTTTGATTACGGCAGACAAGTCGGCTAACTTTACCAATTTCAGGGTGAGTGCAAAAACTGTTGACTTCACCAACCTGAACGTATAATGAGCATACCAATTCAGTACTTATCTAGGAATTCTAAAAATATAAATCAAGTAATGTTCTCCTAAGATGCTATACTTCCTAGGAAGAAACAAAAACAATAGGTAAAATCTCTCAGACATCACACCCCATCCCAGTACCCATACCTTAGGGGAATACTTACTCCTAAATGGGTAAAATCTCTCAGACATCACACCCCATCCCAGTACCCATACCTTAGGGGAATACTTACTCCTAAATGGGTAAAATCTCTCAGACATCACACCCCATCCCAGTACCCATACCTTAGGGGAATACTTACTCCTAAATGGGTAAAATCTCTTAGACATCACACCCCATCCCAGTACCCATACCTTAGAGGGAATACTTACTCCTAAATGGGTAAAATCTCTCAGACATCACACCCCATCCCAGTACCCATACCTTAGGGGAATACTTACTCCTATGTTTGGGCTGCAGCAGTTTTTTCCCCAGGAACAGAACAACAGCCATGACCGCCATGCAGTTTATTATTGAGCCAACACGAGAAGGGTATGCAATGACAAGCAGGCCGAACACATCAAAGAAGACCACATTTCCATGTTGATACTCAGACGAAGAGGCCAGCATGTCAGATGTAGCTAGGTGTTTAAGAACTGCTAAAATGTTGTCACCTTTTAATAAGACAGATAAGATGATCGATTGGGTCGTGATTTACACATACCATGTAAAGCAGAAACAGATCAGGCACTATCTGAAACAGAAGTGACTGGGAGCTCTCCCCCTTTCTTACCAAATGTCCCAGGTAAAGTCCCTCTCTTGCTTTTCTTCCTGTCCACTTGGAAGCTCAACCTTGGCCCTCTCCTACAGCTCTCCCCTAAGGCTCAGGTTTGCCTCCCTGGAAAGCACCACAATGCTCTGTGCTAGGTCAGGGCCTCATCTGTCCTCACCACCCTACCACGGGCCCATATTATCATTCTCTACTCAAAGCCAGTGCCACAAACACAAACCCACGTCCTGATGCTACCTCCGATTCACAGCTCTCACTTTAGCTACATTCTTTACTATTCAACAACCCTATAAGCCTGGGGCCGCCCTTCCAAATCTTTACAGTAAATCAGCATCCCCCACCATAGCCCTGAGCCACTCCTTTCTAAGTAACCACAGTGACAACTGCTAAGTCAGACAGTAAAGACAAAAATGCAAGCCTTCTTCTTTCCAACTTCAAATCTAACTCATTCAACCACACAGGGTACATACAGAACGCACTTTCTAGATATTTCATCATTGTATGCCAAAAGCCAAACCTGTTAATACCAACCTGCTCTCTGAATGGAATCTATGAGAATTCTGTCTGCTGTGTCATACTTGGTGTGATATATGTATCCATTTTCAATAAAAGCTAAATCTATTCCTAAAACAGAAAATGAAAAAAGCCATCTTACTTTAAAGATCAGACTAGGGTTAGGCCTGTTTGTTTAACATAATAAATTCTAAAAGACAAAATGGCAAAACATGAGGTTGCCTGATGTCTGTCATATTCATGAAATGTCATAAACCCTTTTTTGTTCTTACAAAATCTGTAACTATGGTCCATAAATTTAAAGCATAATAATTAAAGCATTTTAAATCACACATTAGGGAAGAAAGTTTGAGGGATAGAATTTGGGCTATACAAGTCACTAAAGGAGTTGGAAATCGAGACAACAAGCATGGGAGCCAAAGTCGCTGAGGACCCTGGCATCTTTGGGGGTGAAGTGCTAAACGGTTCTCTCCAACTCCCACACTGTGGTCTACAACAGCACCCTACAGCAGGCAGCATCTCAGTTACTATGGGTTTAAAGGAGAGGATCAAGAACTTTGCTTTGGTGAGTCAGAAGACAAAGCTCTTATATACAGTGTCCTCAAGAAGTAGAGTTTGCTTCTGACCTAATAGCCTATGGCCACTGACAGAGTACCTGGAATGTTTCCAAAGTCTCTGTAGATCCGGAAGTCGGTATCAGAAGGAATGATTCCACTCTGAAAAACCTCCTGAGCCACCACAGAAGCAAACGGGTGTTTAGCTGCTGAGACATAAGCCTGGACCAGCCAAGGATTTTCAGGGCCTGAAATGAAACAAGACAATACAAGGTTAACCAGATAGCTTTGTTCAACATACCCACACATGGTTGGCTGTACTGAGAAAATATAAGCAACAGCTAACTGATGAGTACCAGGATTGTTTTAGGAGTGATGAAAAAATGTTCTAGGAACTGGAGAGATTGCTCAGTGGTTAGAATTTTTACCACTCAGTCATGAGGGCAAGAGTTTGGTTCCCAACACCTATGTAAAGGGGCTCACAAACACCTTTAACTCCAGCTCCAAGAGATCCTATGATCTCTTCAAACCTTTTTGGGTGCACCTGCACAGACACACACATATTCAAAGATAATGAGCACATACACATAAACTTTTTTAAAATGTTCTAGAATTATGTATGACTATGGAAATAGCTAAAAACAAAACAAAAACAAACAAACAAAAAACCACTAAATTTTACCATTTAAGTTGGTGAACTTATAGGGCATTTATCTTGATATAATAAGCCATGATTTATTTTTATAAACATTTGTATTTATATATATATTATAAAGAAGTCTACAGTTGCAAAATACCACATTTTAAGGAAACAATGTGTATATGTGTTTTTGTGCATAAATAGACATTATTTAAAATTCCCTGAAAGAAACAATTGTAGCACCGGTTTGCTCAGGGCATTGTGAGTGCCATGAGTGTCTGGCTTACAGGGTTTCTTCTACTCAGCTGGTGGAGCCTGGGTTTTTCAAAATGGAACATATATTAATGGTTTAATCTGTTTAAATTTTACAAGGTTGTATTTTATTAACATCTGCAAACATGATGCCGGCAAGCATCCTGACTCACTATGGTGCTGACTTGGTGGGCCACTGCTTCTGACATTAAGAATGATTATTCCAGCCACCAAAAGCTCCCCAAATGAGCATTTCCCTCTGAAGTTACAATGGTACTCTGGAGAGTACAAACTGTTTGATCTGAAAAGCCAAGATAGGACAAGTTTCACCACACAGAAAAACACTGAGGATGGCGATCTGGCACACATTCTGAAACACAACCCATACCTGCTGGCCCAGGAGTGCCTGTTCTCATAGTCAAATGCACAAACAATAGCGGGCTTTCTAGAAAACAGCAGCGCCACAGGGAAGCTGGCTGTCTATAGGCAGTGAGTGGCACTATCTCTGAATAAGAGCATAGAACAATGAAGGTACTTAGTTTACAGTGCACTTCTGGCGGGGAAATATGTAACATGGGCTGTTGCTCTAGCAGAGCCTGGGATTTTCACAGCAGGTGAGAACTCACTGTTGTCTTTGCTTAGAGTTCTCTGCTGCTCCTTTTTGATTTAGTAGCTGTTAAAGTGTTCCTCCTATTATGGATGATATCCAAGAAGCTGGAGGTGGAGACAGCTGCCTATCCCTATAGATGTTAGACTTCAGCTGCTTCACACTGATTCAAGAGAAAACAGAAAAATCTGAGAGCTAAAACAAAATCTTGCTGTATCTCACCTTGTGATCGTGTGTGTGTGTGTGTGTGTGTGTGTGTGTGTGTGTGTGTGTGTGTGTATGTGAGTGTCTGTTTTGAGTCAAGACTATGTAGCCTTGGCTGACCTGGTATTCCCTATTTAGACCTGGTTCCATTTTGAAAGAGTGTAAAGTAAGTTTGAGAGTATTGAAATATGATACTATTTAGGTTACAAAAAACACTTAGTACTTGGTGTAATTTCAAAACTTAAACAATACCATGTCTTTTAAAGATGCTACAAAGTCATTTCCTCTAGCCCACCTCACCCAAAACACTATTTGCCATTAAGACTCCTGGCAAATCAGGCATGATATGACATGCCTATAATCCCAGCACTCTGAAGGAAGAGGCAGAAGGATCAGGATTCAAGAGCAGCCAGGGATACGAAGTAAGACCATCTTGACTCAAACAACAACAAAAACAGCTTTTGGCAGAAGCTATGTGTGTGGCTAAAATGCATTGTTACTTTGCCCAAATTTGTAGAAGGAGAGGACAAGAAATGGACTTTCCAGTGTTGGGTCTCAACAGGCCTTGGCTGAGCAAATCTGTGAGCTTTAACTTCTGCTAGGATGACTAGTGCATGGTATTTATTAATTGTATCCTGTTATCTTCAGGAAAGTCTCTGCCTAAAATTTAAACTCTCTGGCTATTAAGTATAATATGTATTATGTTATATATTATATAAATATAGTAAGTATAATAGCCAGAGAGCCACTAAATAAAATGGTTGCTGTCCATTTTTGACTTTTTCAAATTAACTCAGTGATGGAATTAATTTCCTTCAACTGTGGGTAAATTTTCTCATTCTAACTCATAAATTATCACTTAAAAACCTTTATAATCATCCATAATTAAAAATAATATTCACCATTATAATAGTGATTTTTTTTTAATGGTTATTTGAAACAGGATTTCTCTGTGTAGACCTGGAACTTGCTGTTTAGAGCAGGCTAACCTCAAACTCAGAGATTCCCCTGCCTCTGCCTCCCGAGTGCTGGAATTAAAGGCATGCACCGCCACCCCTCCCCCCCATGAATATGATTTTTAATTACATTTTTTGTGTATTTTTATTGCATTTTATATGATGTCCTCTTTTGCTTCTCAGCTCTGTGGTAAAACACTGACCAAAAGGAACTTGCAGGGAGAAATGGGTTCATTTAGCCTTCAGAGTATAGAGTCCATCACAACAGAAGCCAAGGTACAAACTTCAGCTGGGAACCTGGAAGCAAATCTACAGCAGAGGCCACAGAGGAAGAATGGCTGCTTATTGGCGTGCTTTTTACGGTTTGCTCAGCCTGCTTCATGTGAAACTCAGGGCTACCTGTGTAGGAGTGATACCACCTACAGGAAGCTGGGCCTTTCCACATCAATCATTAATCAAGAAAATGTCCACAGATATGCCCCCCCAGACATACCTACAGGCCAGTCTGATGGAGGCAGTTCCTCAATTGAGAATCTGTCTTTCCAATTAACTCTACTTTGAGTCATATTGCCAAAAAAAAAAAAAAAAAACAGAAAACCAGCACATACTATAATCCCATTACTGGCTCTGAACCAACTCTGAGCCTCAATCACTCAGGTTCAAATCATGCCATACCAACTATAAAACCTTGCAAGTTAAACTCGCCCACCTCTGTTCTTCATCTACAAAGTACAAGTATAGCAGCATGTATTCCTCAAGTTGCTTTGCGAACTAAATAACTCAATGTACAGCAGCGCATGTTCCAAATAACATTTGCATATAATATGTACTACTGAGGAACCACATGCTGATCACATTGTTTTGTTTAAAAAAATGATCAGCCAGCGTAGCTGAATGTGTAAGTTCCTGTCTCTATAAGGTAGGATGTAACTGAAGAAGTCACTGGATGCTAACACATCTGGGCTACCATAAGCATGTACACACACACACACACACGTGCAAATACCACACATGTACACACCAAAACCATAAGCATGTACACACACACACACACGTGCATATACCACACATGTACACACCAAAACCATAAGCATGTACACACACACACACACACACACACACGTGCATATACCACACATGTACACACCAAAATTTTTCACAAAGTTAAAATTACCTCACATCTTAAAAATAAATCTCATTCAATAGATTGCTCATTAAGAGATTCGTGACACTGAAAAACTTTCCACTGTCATAAGACCAGAACTGCACTGAAATGCTCAGTGCGCAACCTCACATACCTGTTTGGAACACAAGTTCTTTCCCTCCTACACCTGCTGCCTCCAGGTTAATAAATGCTCGAATCAAACTGGCCCAGGGATGTTGAGTAATAAAACCATGACTGGCCTTAATGAGGGAGAAACAAATGTATGTTAAAATATGTTTTTATATTGTTTATTTGCATGACAGAATGGCTATCTTGAAAAGGTGGGGACTACGGGAACAAAATAAACATTTTTTAAAGGCAGACAGACTCTAAAGGCATCTTCCTGTATATAATGGTGTTCAGTTAGCCAAGAGGAAAGTCACTGTGAGGATATGCAAAAGTTAAGAAAATGCAGGAGAGATAATCCATATGGTTGGGCATTCGTACTGTGTACCTTCCTCAAATCATCTCTCTGAAACTCAGAGAGTAATTATAACATTCAAAAGCCCTTGAATCAAACACTTTTCTGGGCATGGTAGCACATGCCTGTAATCCCAGCACTCAGAAAACTGAGCAAGAGGATCACAAGTGCCAGGTATCCTGGGAGACACAGCAAGTCCCTGTTTCAAAAGCTAAAAGTGAAAACAGCCAGGCAGTGGTGGTGCACACCTTTAATCCCAGCACTCAGGAGGCAGAAACAGGCAGATCTCTATGCATCTGAGGTCAGCCTGATCTACAGAGCCAGTTCTAGGACAGACAATGCTACCAAAGAAACACTGTCCTTTGGGGGGGTGGGAAGATAGTGAAAATAAAAGAATCACATACTAACAAGATGAGTTGGGTTTCTAACATATTGAGCATGTCTGCATCATGGGTATTTTTAAAGTACTACTAAGTACAGTATTTGTTTTGCATGTTATTTTATGACATTACTCATATTGCTAATAAAACACAATAAATGTTACTAACCAATCATTATTGCTCTCATTATTACTCAACTCAAATATTTATTTTTTCATTAAAATTACTTTTATTTTAAAAAATTCACACATTAAAATTCATTCTTTTGGTGTATAACTCTGAGTTTAAACAAAACATACACATTGCAAGTATGAACAACACAAAGTTCCTATTATTTATAAAAACCCTTTGTGCCAACACTTGATATCTACTGGATTTTCTGCCTCATTGCTTCACCCTTTCCAGAAAACACACAAATGAAATGTAACAGTAATCAGCCATTTGTCGGCTCAAATATTTAAAACAATAAAACCTTACTTGCAAGACATTTTCCTCAGCACCGTTGAAGAGAAACACCACAGCATGCTGCAAGGGTTCTGATGACACTGACATGCCACGGAGAACCTCGAGCATTACTGCACAGCTAACTGCGTCATCACTGGCACCTAGGAGTAGAAAACAGAGTCACTTCTCAGAGTCTCAGTACTTCTCATTGCCTGTGGAATGCAGTTTTCCCCTCAGAGAAGCGTCATAACAGCGGCATGACCGGGAAGCACGACTGTCATCATAGGATGACAACTATGCCCAACAAAGACACACCCATTAAGATCCTTGTCTGGTCTGCTCAATGACATAATCGGTGCCTGGAACCACCCTTATAGTACACACTCAATAGCTGTGTTGAAAAATTAACCAGATAGGACCTAAGGCCAACTGGGATTCATCCTCTCCCATCACCCCCTGGAGAATTCTTTACTTCTGGTACTTATGGCCTCCTCCACTCTATCATTTCCTTGACCTTCAAAACCATAAAAGCTGTAGCACTTCACATTTACAGACGGAGCAACACTCTGCAATGGATGTTCACATTGGATGAGGTAACACTTTTTAAAGATTTTCTGAATGGACAGAGTAATGAAAGAGCACAAAGGAGGCGCCTGAATGGTAAGAAGAACAAACTAATGGCAGCACTGGAAAGGTATAGCATGCAGTCAAGTACATCAGGAAATAATATTAAAGATGATAAAAAGAACTCTAGTGCTCTGATTTAAAAAATAATAATAATAAAATCCACTATTTTAACATTTGCACTGACTCTGTGTGCAGGCTGGGAGGCACACTTGTCACAGTGCACATACGCAAGTTGAGGGACAATCTTTGAGAGGCCATTCTTTGCTTCCACTATGTGGGTCCAGACTCAGGCAGCTGGGCGTGGCAGGTGCCTTTAAGCACAGAGCCATCTTGCTGGGCCCTATATGCTGACTTTGAAAGTTCTGTGGGAGATAGTTGAAGGAACTGACTGGCTATTTGATGACACTGAAAAGTTATAACTGGATTTTCTAAGTGAGCTAGCTCATGATATTATTGACATGCTCAAAGGGGTCCCCATCCTTCACCAATATAGACTAAAATAGAGAAACCAATGCAGCAAAAAGCAATCTCAAAACAACCAAGAAGAGGAGGGCTGCAGGACAGCAGCAGGACTGGGCTGCAGGAGAGCAGCAGGACTGGGCTGCAGGAGGCAGCAGGACTGGGCTGCAGGGGGCTGCAGGAAGGCTGCAGGAGAGCAGCAGGACTGGGCTGCAGGAGGCAGCAGGACTGGGCTGCAGGAGAGCTGCAGGAAGGCTGCAGGAGAGCAGCAGGACTGGGCTGCAGGAGAGCAGCAGGACTGGGCTGCAGGAGAGCAGCCGGACTGGGCTGCAGGGGGCTGCAGGAGAGCAGCAGGACTGGGCTGCAGAGAGCAGCAGGACTGGGCTGCATGACTTTGAGGCACACTGGAGGTCAATGAGCAGCCCTGTTTTCTAGATCTCATTTTTCTCCTAATAGGGAGCTTAAAGGGCAGTTAGAGTGAGAAACACTATTCTAACTCAGGCAGTAGCACCTCTGGATGTGCACACAAGAGCGGCAGGGTGCTATAGCATTCCACAGGCACTGGGGAGCAGGATGTCATTTACCATTTCCGGGTCTCGAAAGCGGACTGATGGTTCAAGCTATGCACAGATTAAACGGGACAGCACCCATTGCCTGGCTCCTGGGAAACACCCCACCTTAGTTTTCTTCTCTTTGAAAACTTAGGGAAGGCTCTGTAACCGGGTAAAATAAAATACTTGCTCTGGGGCTCTGTTAAATTCTAAAACTCACTCTTGCTCAAAAAGAAACAATACTAATGACACCTCTCTTGGTGAATATTGGACTGTATTTTAGTCACTAGTCACAGTGAAACAAAATAATGGCTACCTGATTAGTATTAATTAGAGCAGGGAGTATAAGCTGATGAAGCTTATGTGTGCCACTTTCCAGAAAACAGATAAACACTTCCATTTTGAATTGAAACTGTTCTTTTAAAATAAAAAGCAAACAGTAACACTTTTCTTTATTCTAAGTAAGGTTTAAAACGTTTATCCTCATATAGCTGATTGATAAATTAAACTTCCCATTCACTTTCCCCTACTTTAATGGTTCTAGTGTCTTAGGCGAGGCCCAGAAAGGGGTCAAAATTCTTTTAAGAACGTGAACAGTAAAAAGGCCAAGTGGTTAAGTTGCATACCTTTCCACTTAGAATCAACCCTGAAATTGAAGTCACCCCAAAATAACTCAAATGTCTCTTTCACTGATGACCTGGCACCACGCAGAGGAGCTGAGACGATAAATGAGGCCCTTCTGTGGGTAACATTACTTCTAGTGGGTATCAATTCCTGGGTCCACATATGCTGCTGAGAACTTAAAAATGATGCTCACAGGAAATTAAACACAGCTGAGCAGGTCTGCGAGGCCTGCGACCCCAGTCCTTTGGTGGCTAAAGCAGAATTGCTGGTAAAGCTCAGGCCAGCCTAGACTACACTGTTGAGGATGTCTCAATAATATTCCTGAAGGTGTAGTATAGCTCAGTGGTAGAGCATCTGCCCGGCAAGTACGGGTGCTGGTTCCATCCCCAGCACACAAATACTCTTGCTTCAGTGAGTTCATCCACTGAAAGGATTTGGGAGATAGACACCTATTTGAAGAGTGGTTGAAAAACTACTCCTACCTTATTATTGGTAGATATTTCCTTCACACTATCAGTATGAGTATTATAAAATTTTAGATAAAAGTGATTCTAAACTAGAAATAGAGTATTACTTAGCATGCAGAAAACCATAGATTCAATCTGGAAAAAAAAAAATCTCTTTAGTCATTTAAACCATGCACAGTGGCACACTCAGCAAAGTCATCCTCAGCTACATAGCCAAGTGTGAAACCAGTTCAAGGCTAGCCTGGGCTACATGAGACCCTGTATGAAAGAAATGGGGTGGGCATTCTAATGGCTGTCCAAAGAATCTTTTCATTAGTGGACTCCACATGGGAGCCATACACTTGGCATTGTGTGAAGAGCAGCAGACAATGCAAACACTATTTGGTACTAACAGAAATCCAGAAGGAAACAGGAAAAAACTCCCTGCCCTCCCCCCACTTGCCTATAAGCAGAACACAAATCTATGCAGGTGTTCCACCTCCCCCTCTACCCGGAAGGACAAAGGTTAACCTCCAAAGACAACCTTAGCCCCTGAAGAGCCTACAGACAGCAAACTTAGCCAACTAGACTTTACTTGCCATACATGTCATCTCCAGCATTTGCTGCCCACTGATTCTAGGTCCTTTCTCCTTTGGTTTGGTTTTGGTTTTTCTGTGGCACTAAGGATGGGACTTGGGGCAATCACTCTCCCACTAAGCTACACCCCACCTGGTTCTTTCCCTTTGTCTTCTCACTTTTCAAAAACAGTTTTGTTCTTGATGACAAGAATAGCTAAGCCAGAGAGCTGAACCACCTCTTTGAAATAGTGTCCTTCTGTATCACCCAGGTACATCTGCACAGGGAAATAGCCTTGTCTGCTTTTCTTTTTTATCTTTTCTTACAAGGATCCATCCCACATAAGGATTACGAAAGATAAAGAAAAATTCAGGGTTTCTACATTTGTTTGATACCTATATATCCAGTCTTTCTAATGCAATGCTCCAAAAAAAAAAAAAAAAACCCAGAGCATTATGTGTCCCTTTCCAATTTAAGCATCTTAATAATGAACACAGGATGGCCTTGTCTAGTGTCTCAAGCATAAGGTAAAACACTTCTGCCTTTAAAAAAAAAAATGAACATGTGTATACTAATTTCTGAATAAGAAAAGCATATTCTAAATGTGAAATATCCAGTCACAAAATCATTTCAAGTTAAGGCTAGTTTATGTCTTATGTGACTCCAGATAGTTATATTGAGCCTGCTATACACGAAGGCAACCAGAAATATTGTCAACAATAGTACCAACAACAAGGGAAGATTTCCTTAAAAGATGCTGTCCTAATGTTTTACTTACACTTAATCCTTTGAGCTATACTATCAGGAAATTAGCCATTATTTTTCCATTTAACAGGAAGTTAAAAAATGAATTAGGCAATAGGCCCAAAAAGGCCTAATGATACTCAGATACCCTCTTCCTGGCCAGGAGGTCAAGCACCTACCCCAGCTGTGTGGGATCAGACGTGATAATCAGAAAAGGGGTCTTCTTATGTCTAAAATCTCAGGAAACACTACTTTCCATTCTTACCTTCCTATATTATTAGCTGTTTTTTGTTTTTGTTTTGCATGTCTTATTTGTTTACATGAGTATATAGAGAAGAAATTTTAGAGATAATGCATGTCATTGGTTTAAGACATGAGGCCATTGTAAGAGAGTCAAGGAAATTTACTTACATGATAAAAGATTTTAGGACTTAATTACAATAAGAAGGTTTCATATAATAGCATTTCAATGGTAGGTTTTGTTTCCCTCTAATACTTTCCCAAAACATCACCATCTCTAAATAAAAAAATTAATCCTTGGAGCTGGGCAGTGGTAATGGCACACATCTTTAATTCCAGCAGAGGCAGGAGGAACTCTGAGTTCCAGGACAGCCAGGACGACACAGAGAAACCCTGTCTCAAAAAATCAAAATAGTAGTAAATCCTTAAAGCTCAACAGTTAAGACAGTTTGCCTCGCAATCATGAGGACAAGTTCAGACACCACAATCCACAACTGCTCACAGATGTCTAAGCTCCAACTCCAAGGAATCTGACACCCTCTCTTGGCCCGCAAGTACATACGTATGTACATACATACATACATACTCTCACTCTCTCTCAAAATACTTCATAAATACATATGAAAAAAAAAAAAAAAGCAAACAGAATCCCTGTGGCCCACAGCTATATCAATACCTCTACATCCTAGGAGAACTTTCAAGCTAACTGCATCTCTCTACTTCCAAGCTACTCCTGTTGATTGTAATGCTTTTCCTCGACATTTCTGGGGAAGCATACATAATGCCTCTTCTGGTTTAAGTTTTGGCTACATTCATTTCAACCAATACCCATCAAACAGCTGAAGAGTTTTAAATGCTTTCTTACCATTGCTCTTGCCAACATACCTTGCACTCTCTGGTGCTACTGTAGGGAGAAAGAGACCCAGAGTCTGGCCTCGGGACACATGAAGAAACCACTTAAACTACTGAAAACTTGTTTCTGAGTTACCTTCTTTTTTTCTTTTTTGTTTCTGGGTTTTCTTCCCCCCCCCCCCCCCCCGAGACAGGGTTTCTCTGTAGCTTTGGAGCCTTTTCCTGGAACTCATTCTATAAATTAGGTTAGCCTAGACCACACAGAGATCCACCTGTCTCTGCCTTTCTAATGCAACCACCACCTGGTTGAAAAATCTTATATTTAAAAAAAGTTCCCAATGACTCATTGCAATGAACACTTAACAGGAAAAGATGTGTGGACTAAAGGATAATCTGTGTGACTCACTGAGCCACACGACAGCTTCCACACCGAGACTTTTTTTTTTTTTTATGTTTTTTGTTTTGTTATTTTTGGTTTTACTTTTAAATTTTGTTTTGGGGGGAGCTGCAAGAGCAGAGGGCGGAAGTGGCGGAACAGGGAGATGAGTGGGCTTGGAATGCATGATGTGAAATCCACAAAGAATCAATAAAAAGTTAAATTAAAAAAAAATAAACAAGTTCAATTTAGGGGATTCATACTGATTTGACAAATATGTATTAAATCAGTCATTGTCTTAAACATCAAGTTTTCTATCTTGCCAATGTCTATTCAGAGTGCTAGGCTAAGTATTCTAGCAATATATCATACCCTCAGTGGACAGTAATTCTAACTTTTGAAGTGAACAGAAACTGCTAGAAGTAATGTCCTCCAAACCATGTATTCCTGAAATGTAGGGATCTTTTTCCCAAAGCCTAGTGCAACGCCTGGCTGTGTAAGCACTTACAAGTGGACAGACACATGGTAAACTAATAATAAGGCTACTTCAGCCTACCAAAAACATCTCATGATTGTCATGGGGCTTGTGGGCCACTGTTTAGTAATTATGACAAGTACATACCTGGTGAGTTTGCCACCGAGTCAAAGTGACAGTTAGCCAGTACAGCATGCTGGGCTCCACTTCCGGGTTCCAGCTTTACCACAACATTAGTAATGTTGTCATAGTAGCTTGTAAAACCTCCCAAGAAGTCAATGCTGAAGGAACCTGTAGGCCTTTGTATGTCCACTGAAATTCTGTGAATGCTGCTGCTTTGTCTTTCAATCAGTTTGATCTGCTCCAATAGGTACTGCACTGTCAGAATTTCATTTTCTGTACTTCCTGTAGTCCTGGGACCAATGGCTGTTATGTGTTCCAGATAATCCCTGAAAGCAATCAAAAGGAATGATGATGATAAACTTAAAATGACCATATCTTAGAGCTTGCCTCCTACCTCAGAAAGTTTAGTTCTTTTGAATTCTCACATAAAGAAAAACCAAATGCAAAAACACTGCCCCTCCCCCATGTCTAAGTCATGGTCACTAGTTATCCTGGAACTCACTACATAGATCAAACTGGCCTCGAAATCAGAAAGATCCACCTGCCTCTGCCTCTAAAGGCACTTTAAAAAAAAAAATAAGTAAACAAACAAATAAACTAAAAAAAAAATCAGACACCCCAAGAAAATTACCTGGAGGTTTCATCACTTTATATTACATCCCAGGAACTAATGCTTTCAAATTTTCCTCCTTTGATTCCACATCAAATCAGTACCAAGACTAGGGCTTATATTCAGTATGTGTGGCTGCTGAAGGCTAGGTAGGAAAACACAACTTCACAGGCTAGTTACAGATTGTTCCTTACTGGGTCTAAATGGCAGAAACCGATGGTGAGAAAAACCCTTAAGAAAATGTTTTCAACGCGCTACATCCAAAGAAGCAGCTTTTAAAACAACCGCAGTTAAAAACTTTCTGCTAGCTTAGGATTCATCTGGTTTAAGATGCAAGTTACAAAATCAAAGAGTTCACCTTCCCAAGTACACCTGGGGTCGTTTAAAAAGCTTGAGCCCTATACAATCCGTTATCACATTAGGGCCACTGACCAAAGGCGAACTTGAGAAAGTGTAGGCAGAACTCTGAATGAGTGGCCTCTTGGATTAGTGTCCACAGCTTTCGGATTTGGGGGCTGCGTTGCTTGGGAAGGCAGCACACTACCTTACACCTTCCCAACACCATCCCCAAAGGGCTTTTTAATGAACGCAGTCTTGGCCCAAACACCCCACGCACAGGGGCGTGCTAACAACCAATCATCTGCGGGCGGGGCAGAGTGCACGGGGAAGCAGATTCGATCCACCTGGCCACCCTGAGAAAGCGAAAGGGGAGCCTGCAAGCCCCGGATACCCGCCATTCAGACCCAGAGGGACGCGCGGGACCACCCCGCTTCCCACCCACGTGCGCCCAGGGACCCCCCCCCGAACCCAACACCGCGCAGCCAGACTAGAGTCACCGACCCGGAGCTCCCCACCCCGGGCTCTCCCGCCTGGGGCAGCAGCGGACGTGCGGCCGGGCCGGTCGACCGTACCTGGCTTGGCGAGCGTCGAACTCGCCCTGGAGCCCGGAGGTCCGGCTCAGCACCAGCCGCTGCAGCGAGAGCTGCACGAGCGCCCGCAGTGCGAGCAGGTACAGTGCGAGCGCCAGCACCGTGCGCGCCTCGGACAGCGCGGTCCCCGCGCCCCGGCTCGCGCCTCCGCTCCCCGAGCTCCCCTTCCGCGTCCTCCCGCCGCCGCTCGCGTCCGCCTGCGCTGAGGCCTCTCTCTCCCGGTGCGGCGCGGCCGCCGGGCCCTCCCGACGCTCCGCCGCGCCGCGGTGCCGCCTCACGGCCGCCGACTCGGAACTCCATTCCATGGCCGCAGCCACTAGCCCCAACCGCCCCGGCCCGCGACAGCCCGGGCCGCCGCGGCCGCCGCAGCGCCTCCTAGTGAGCGGACGGAAACTGCAGAGGGCCAAACTTCTTCTGATTGGCTGATCTGCTCTGCTGCACCCCGGCGCTTCAGTCTAACTGATCTTCGGTGGCCGGCCGGGGCGGGGCATGGTAGTTGTGCTTGCTTCCCAGCCTGGTGTCTGCAGATTGCCAAACGGAAAAACACCCATAAATCGAAAAATGAGTAGCCCCAAGCAAGAGGAAAGTGCAAGGCCACTTTTAACAGAATGCACCAGGCATTTATCCTGCCCTGGGCAGATGCCTCTGAAAAGGTAGGATCCTGTCTACAAAAACAAAAAGTAAGATTTTACAACCAGCAATGGACCAATATAGGCCTGTAATCCTGGCACTAGGGAACTAGGAAGCTTGGCCATTGGGGGATCTCTATTTCTAGTCCAGAGAGGGATACATAAGGAAGACCTTAAAAGAAGAGAAAGGGGGGGGGGGAGAAAAGGGAGGGAAGGAGGAAGGGAGGAAAGGAAAGAAGGAAGGAAGGAAAGAAAGTAAATTGCATATCTAATCCCAGCACTCAGGGAGTTATGAAAGGGAGGATTTACACTTTATACAAATTAGAGCCCTGGTCTACATAGAGAGAGTTCCAGGCCAACCAGGGCTATAGAAGGTGAGAGGGAGAAGGAGGAAGAAGGGAAGGGAGGAGGGAAACACGGAAGACAGCTACTGCTGTCTCCATTTAACAGATAAAATAATAGTTATATTTAATGAATAGTTGCTGAGTCAAGCGGTGTGCTAAGTACAGACTTTGGAAAGAAATTATTTCTATTCCTATTGAATAGCTGAAGAACATAAAGGTAGCAAATGAAAAATGGATGGGTTCCCAAGACAGCATTCTGTTCCACTGCTGCACAGGGCACTGTGCAAACAAAGGCCTAAAAAAGATGTTCTTGGGCCACCAAGATGGATCAGAAGGTAAATGTGTTTGTCCCAGTCTTGCCCCAAAGCCTGACAACCAGAAGTCCATACTGGGTGCTGTGGTAGAAGGAGAGAACCAACTTCCACTAGCTGTCTACTGACCTACACACACACACACACACACACACACACACACACACACACACACCATATAAACACTATTGTGTTGTCTAGTCTCATGTCCATTTGCCACACAAACGAGATATCTGAAAGGAGGAACCCACAATTGAGAAAATGTCTTAGTTAGCATTTTCTTAATTAGTGATTGATAGGGGAGGGTACAGCCCTTTATGGGTGGAGCCATCTATGCGCTGGTGGTCCTGGGTTCTGTAAGAAAGCAGGCTGAATGAGCCATGAGGAGCAAGCCAGTATGCATCAACCCTCCATGGCCTGTGCATCGGCTCCTGCCTCCAGGATCCTGCCCTGCTTGACTTCCTGTCCTGACTTCCTTTGGTGAAGAGCTGTGATATAGAAGTATCAACCAAATAAACCTTTTCCTCCCCAAGTTTGGTTATGGTGTTTTATCATAACAATAGTAACCCTAAGACACACAATAATAAAATAAAAATGTTTAAATGCCATAAAAAATAAATCAGTAATAAATGAAAAGTTAGTCTCCCTTTAGTATCACCATTAAATGGCAAGAGGCTGGTCATTGGTTTTAGTGGCCAAGCTAGCAACTGCTTGCCTCTTTGATTCAAGATTCTGTGGCCCAAGCACATAATGGCTTAAGTGCTCTAAGTCATTAACCCACTGAGAAAACACGATGCAGAATTTTGGCTGAACTTCTGTGTCAGATATCATACACAAAAGCCCTGAAGCCCTGCCTACCTCTCAAACCATGAGACACAGGGTGCTCCTACAGCCACACTGGCCTCTCTCAGACTTCCAGGTTGCCACCTTTTCTTTACAATATCTCCTCATATACTATGTAGATTACCCACAATGCTTGTTCCTTCCCTTCATTACCAAGCTTCAGAGCTCAACTGGTACTATCTCAAACAAGACTCTCTTAGTCCAGTACACCCACTTCCCTGTGTCAGCTCTTACAGCACCAATCCTGCTGGGATTATTTCATGTTTCCCTCACCAGGCTGCTAGCCCCATAAAGGCAAGAATCTTGTGTAGTTTTACTCGCGTTACTCACTTCTCCTAAGACACGGAGTGACAAGTACTATACTGCCAATATGTCTTGAATGGGCGGAAAACACAGCATCTTTAGAAGCATAGAGCTTTAGTTCTGTAAGACCCTTTTGTGGCACCTGCGCTGCTGTTGAAGCCCGAGAAACTGCGGAGGGTGTCGAGGTTAATAACACAGGACTCTTGCTTGATATTAAGAAGGCTCTTTATTATTTTCCTTTTACTCCATGGTGGGGTGGGGTAGCTTATATACCCCAGCACTACATGGAGGAGGGGGAAGCAGAGAAGGCAGTTAGTCGTCTCAGGTTCCAAGCACAAGTTAGGGTGCTTTCAGTGTTGCAGAAGCCAAAGGAGCATTAGCATTTTGCATTAGAAAACATGTCTCCTGTTTTCCAGCGGTTACAGCTGCCTGCCCTAAGGGCAGCAGGAGGGGAAGTAAATTCTTAGCCCTTTCAAGTCTGTAAGCTCTATGAAACCAAAATCAATGTCTATGTCATTACTTCATCACCTTACCCATAGTGCTTAGCTTCTGCCAGTCTCTGGTCATCACTCACTATGTATTCATTGAATGGGAGAATGAAAATGTATATCACCTTCTATAAGAATCAGATGTTTTTTCCTGTTTACTTCCTCAAAAGTCTAGAGCCCCTATTCTCTTTGGAAAGAGAGTTCCAAACATCAACAGCTATACCTGCTACAATATATGAAGATATATCAATATATTTCAATATATCAAGATATGGATGGTTCTCCTATCTTCTTGTGATTGGAGGCCATAGATCTTTTTACGTCAACTTGAAACAGGCTGGAGTTCCCTTAGAAGAGGAAGCCTCAATTGAGAAAATGCCCTCGTCAGATTAGCCTCTGGGAAAGTCTGTGTTTCATTTTCTTGGATGGTGACGTAGGAAGGCCCAGGCTTTTCTTCCAAGTCCTTATGAGACACAGACTTAGGCTGAGCGACAAGCATAAAGATGCCCCAAAGCCCTTCTTCTTGCTCCCTTTCTCCTATTTCCCAGTAACTTGGCCAACCCTAAGAGGGCAGACCTGTGCACTGCCAACACACAGGCTGCTGCATGGCTGACATCCTGAGCCATCACAGCTTACGGACCTCCTTCCAGTAAGGAGGGCCTGCTCACCAAATCTGGTTCCAGGAGCTGAAAGCTGGCAAAAGAACACTTGTTACCTTGTGTTCCATCGTCATTGCAAGCAAGTGAGGTATCAAGCCAAGAGGTGCAAAAGACGGTCCAAACCAGTTTCAAAAGACAGAAACAGATGTCAAAGCTAGGACACTGTGTGAGTGAAAAGAAAAAGATGCGAAAGCCAAGCTAGGAATCCCAAAAGCAAGCAAGAGCCTGGCTGTCAGCTGCAGAGGGGTGACTGAAGTTGGTCTGGTGTGCTTACTGTCAACTGTGTCGTGCATTTGTTTCTTTGCTTTGTTGCATGCATCCCAGGCTGGTCTCAAACTAGCTAACAACGACCTTGGACTCTGACTCCCCTATCTCTGCATCCCCAAAGGATTGTGCCTGTGCCATCATGCCTGCTTTATGTAACACTGGGGATCAAACCTGAGGCTGCATGCCTTTTATGTAGACATTCTACCAACTGAGTCTCAGCCGCAGCCCAGCAATTTTATAAATGAGACAGAGTTATGTGGAAATGACTTTAGATAGATAAGAAAGGATGAAGGTCAAGTGATAACAAAAATAAGTGAATGTAAGTGCAATGATTAAAGCTCAAAATGGACAGATTCCAATCAAAACAGAAATGTCAGACAGCAGAAACATTGCATATTGATTTCACAAAATTAAGGATTTGTATACATCAAAAACAGTCACACACTCACATATGATAATAGAGAGTCTGGGGAGATGGCTGAGACCTTTACTTCACCCTATAGAACCCACCAAAAGGCAGGCACAGAGTGGCCTATAAGCCCTGTGGTAGAGAAGACGGAGAAAGGCGGCTCACTGGGGCTTGCTGGCACTAACTAGCTGAGCCTTCAGTGAGTTCTTAATGCATTGAGACACTGAAAAAGAAAGGCACACACTCATGAGTACACACAAATGAAACAGACACATGCCAACAAGGAAGAAAAGAGAAAATAAAAGACTAGATAGTCATAGTCTTCCTTATTTGCCAGTGTGTAAGGTTGAGAGATATCAGAAGGTAGTTTTGGATGCTAATGCAAGTTAGGATAGAAAATAAATTAGGTACAACACTTTGGATTCACCAAGATAGGATAGATATGGAGTATTTGCTCTGAATTTGTCAAATGTAAATGAACTAGACATTGCTGATGTATTTAATGCCTATATATATTATGTATCGTTATTGTACTTATTGCATATAGTTTTCTTATATTAATTATAACCTTTTAAATTTTAGACAAAAAAGGGAAAATGTAGTAATATTTTGTTTATGATCTAACTAATAAAGCTTGCCTGAAGATCAGAGTGCAAAGCTAGCCAATCAGCCAGCCGTATAGGCCACTCAGTGAAGTCAGGGTTTAAATGAGTTCACCAAACCCAAGATAAAAGATAAATGGGTGTTTTCTTAGAGAAGAACTTACACAGATAAGAGTAAATAGCCACCGTGGCCTTCCTGCTCCAGATAATGTAGTCTCTGCTCTTCCAATGATCTCCACGACCCAAGAGAGAGTATCACACACACACACACACACACACACACACACACACACACACACACACACACACTTCTACCTTAAAGCAGTCAGTGAACTGCTACAAGTTCACTGGCAAGGCAAGATGCCACTACAAGGCAGGGGTGACACACATACTCTTAGCCATAGAGGCCAGGTAATGGTAGTGTACACCTTGAATCCCATTGCTCAGGAAACATGGGCAGACAGATATCTGTTAGTTCA